TGTTCTTCCTCTCCCTTACCCCTTCTTTGAGTGCATAACTTTTTGTGATCACCTGAACCTAATCGACTCACTCCCATGCCACCTGCCTATGTAGAGTCCTTATTGCCCTAATAAAAATAAAGTTCTTAGGGCTTACATGTATCATCTTCCCATATGGCAATGTAACAGTTCCAGGGGTGGGGAATCTGCGGCCCCGAGGCCACATGTGGCCTTCAAGGTCCTTATGTGAGGTCTTTTGACTGAGTCCAAGTTTTTCAGAACTAATCTTTTTATTAAGGAGATTTGTTCTATGAAGTTTGGATTCAGTCAAAGGGCCTCACTTGAGGACCTAGAGGGCCACAAGTGGCCTCGAGGCCACAGGTTCCTCACCCCTCAAACCTTGTTGAGTCCATTAGGATTTCTTTTTCATGTTTACCTTTTTATGCTTCTTTTGAGTCTTGTATTTGTCAAAATACAATTTGTCAAAATTTCTATTAAGTTCTGGTCTCTTCATCAGGAAATGTTGAAAGTCCTCTATTTTATTAAATATCTATTTAGTTTTTATTTTGGGATCTCTTTCAGGAGGTGATTGGTGGATTCTTTCCACTTCTATTTTACACTCTGGTTCTAGGATATTAGGGAAGTTTTCCTTTATAATTTCTTGAAATATGATATCTAGGCTCTCTTTTTTTATCATGGTTTTCAGGTAATCCAAGAATTCTTAAATTATCTCTCCTCAGTCTATTTTCCAGGTCAGTTGTTTTTCCAATAAGATATTTCAAATTTTCTTTCATTTTTTTCATTCTTTTGACTTTGTTTTGTTTCTTGGTATCTCATGGAGTCATTATTTTCCAGTTTTGTTCAGTTGGACAAATTGGAGTCATTTTCTTCCAAATTGTCCAGTTTTGGTTTTTAAGGAATTATTTTCTTTATTGGGCCTTTGTACCTCTTTTTTTTTTCCATTTGGCCAGTTTTGCTTTTTAAGGAATTGTTTTCATCACCATTTCCAATTCTATTTTTTAAGATGTTATTTTCTGCAGTATTTTTTGTGCTTCGTTTTGTTAAGTGTCTTGTCATAATTTTCTTCCCTTGCTCTCATTTCTTTCTCCAATTTTTTCTCTACCACTTTTATATGATGTTGAAAAGCATTTTTTAGCATTTCTATGAATTCTGGTTGGGCCTGTGTCTGATTCACTTTTTTTTTTTTTTTCTTGAAAGCTTTGCTTGTAGCTGTTTTGATATTACTGTCTTCTGAGTTGGTGTCTTGATCTTTTCTGTTACCATAGTAGCTTTTTATGGTGAAGTTCTTTTTTTGTTTTTTGCTTATTTTTCCCAGTGTATTACTTGACTTTGAATTTTATGTTAAAGTTGCATTCTGTTCCTGAGGTTGGGGGATGGAGATGGGGCACTGTCCCAAGCTTCAGGCTTTTTCTCACTGCTGTTTTCACAGCTAGTTCTGGTGATTTGAAAGTTTTCAGTGCTTCCAGGGTGGTGTGATCTGGAGAGAGGTGTGGTCACTGGGCCCCGTTCTCTTTCTAGCACAAGCAGTCTTGTTTTTCAGGACTCCTGCTCCCTTGGGACTGGAAATGCTCCTCTCCACTCTTGAACTGTGACCCAGGTGTGGGTATGGGCAATGGAGTGTTTCGTCCTGTGTCCAATACTAGCTCAAGGGTCCTCTGTAGACTCTTTCTGACCACTTGCCAGGTTCCCTTACCACCTGCCTTGAGAGCTCCCAAACTGCTGCTGCTTCTGTCACAGCCACTGGTGTTTATCCAGGTGGGCTCTGGGTCAGCTTCCTCCCCATGTCACAGATCTCTTTCCGGCCTCCAAAGTTGTCTTGGGCTGGAAGAATGTGTCAGTCTAACCTTTTGTTGGTTCTTCCACTCTAGAATTCAATTTGCGGAGTTTTTTTTTAAAGTTGTTTGGAGCGGAATGTTAGGAGAGTTCAGCTGAGTGCTTTCTCAGCCATCTTGGATCTGTCCTGGCTTTATTTTTTTTAGTGTGGATGATGAGGTAAATTTACCTTGAATGGTGTTCCTGAGGTCAATGTCATCTATAAAGAGTAGCATTTTCAGAAGCTCCCGTGCGTAGGAAATTTTACTCTTGCTTGATTCTTGCACAGGAAAATTTTCTTGACAATGGCCCACACCACTGGTGAACATGTGTCTAACTTGATTTTGGTGGTTTATCGAGCAAAATTATCCCTTTTATGACATCTTCAGTGGTTTTGTACACACATACACACGCAGTATAACTTTAATTATGTATGTGTAGGAGAAACTTTAAGGAGAGTCTTGAATATGTAGTTTGCTCTATGAAGTCAGACCCTTCAAATTATTAAACAATAAACACCATGGGAGCTTATATTCTTGAACGTATCTCAGTCTGTTCTTTCATCATGAAGATCACATGATCCTTGACAGGACATTGTTTTCAAGAACCTGCCTTTCACTTTCTCAGGTTTTTGTTTTTTTTTTTTTTTAAATTGAGGATACTATTTATACACACCCAGATCATTCTCCTGAAGACTTTATAGAGGTGAGAAAGCTGGCATGCGGATTAGTGGCATTTGTGTTTTCTTTAGGAAAAGTAACATGTGTTCTTTGTCATTGTTTTTGGACTTTCTATTTGGGAAATGTTCTGAGTGCCTTTAAAATTATTTCAGCTCCAGCACAGATTTTTGGGTGTTTACTTCATCTTGCAGGTCTTCCCAAGTTTCATCTTTCATGTAGTTTATGAATCGGTCAGCTAGCATTTATTAAGCTCCTCCTGTGTGCCAGGCAGGGTGCTAAACACTGGGGATCCAAAGAAAGCGATACACTGTCCATGTTCTCAAGGAGTCCACAGGCTAATGGGGGAGATGCCATGTAAACAACCATTCATAAGCAAGATATATACGGAAGAAATGGAGGTTCATCTTGGAGGAAAGGCACTAAGATTAAGGATTGGGAAAGGCTTCTTGCACAAGGAAAGACTTTGATTGAGACTTGAAGGTGGGTGACACAGTGGGTACAGTTCTGGTCCTGGAGTCAGGAACACTCATCTTTGTGAGTTCAAGGCCAGGCTCGGAAACTTACTAGCTGTCCAACCCTTGGCAGGTCATTTAACTTCCGTTTGCCTCAATTCCTCATCTATAAAACGAGTGGGGAAGGAAATGGCAAACCAATCCTGTGTCTCTGCCAAGAAAACCACAAAAGGGATTGTGGAGAGTTGGACGCATCTGAAAAACAACTTAACCACAACCGCTCAGGGATGTTGTGAGGATCAAATGAGACTTTTTTTTTTTTTTAAAGTGCTCAGTACAGTGCTCAGACATGTAGTAGGCACTATATAAATGCCATTTCTCTCCTTATTTCCCCCACTTGAAAAAAACCAGGAATTCTTGGAGGTAGCATTGAAGAGGGGGAGCGTGGCAGGCATGGGAGACAACTAGAAATAATGTTGGAGTTGGGAGACGGAGTATTATGTGCCAGGCACATCCAAAGACCAGGGTCCCTGCGTCAGAGTAATTATGCTGACTTTTTTAATGCCAGAATTTCTACATTCAATGGACTGTTTTCTTTCAGAGTAGTTCATCTGGAAGTTAATTAGCTTATTATGCTGTGTTGCTACTGCCCAGGCAATTTCTAGAACCCCTGTTTTGGAATTGCCTTCATAATTATGTGCCATGTAACAAAATCAGTCTCATTACTTTGTAGTCACACCTCATTCTTGATCAAATATGGCATTATTTACATTTGATCACCCATCTTATTCATCATACTTGCCTCTTAATAGCTTTGGAGTTTATTAAAAAATCAAATCTGCTTTCAAAGAATCAAGATTTGCTGTTATTGAGGATATTCAAAAGCATATGCTGCAGATTTTAAAGGTAATACCAAAGAAGGGAGCATCAAAAAGGTTTCAACTCTTCCTAAGGTGACTACTTGATGAGAAAACCCTGAATTAGAAGTATATTTTGCAATTTATCAAGTCAGTTGCATTTCCTTAGATTCATCTATAGAGGCACCATTGCTCCGAGGTTACATGGTTATTGCAAATGATAATATTATTACTTTGAATTGCTGGATCTTTCATTTTTGTTTCTTGGCCCTGGCTTTCAGCACTTCGCACAGTTCTTGGCACATAGTAAGCTCTTAATAAACATTCACTCATTCATTTATTCATTCATCTGTACATGTTCCTAGACATCATGATCTGCACTAACTAGATATCATACCAAGCTCTCTGGAGGCCAATTTTCTCCTTGGTACTTTTTGCTGTTTTGTGGGGGAGTATAACTCATGATCTTCCATTATCCTGCTTGATAAAGTTTTACAAATGACCTTGTACAATAACTCTGTGTTGCCTTAATTGCCATGGCAAGAATATCTAAATATTTGATGATTAATATAGTCTGTGGACATTTTTGACCTCACTTTGATCATTCATGCAACAGTTAAACTTTCTAGGGAAATGATAAATGAGTCCATGTCTTCACTTCTATCCATTTCCATTTTTCTCAATTCACAGATGTTAGGTTGAGTTGGAACAGAGTGCTCTCTTTCATTTTTATCTTTTTTCCTAATCTGCTGTTTGTTTTCCCCTTTGCTTAACTAGTTTATGCTCTAACCGCACACATAGCTGATTCTAATGTAACTTCTATGTTTATAATCTATTTTTCCTTTCTGTTAAAATATAGACAGTTTCATTTTTTTAATGTAATCAGTACTTTTTATATCTAGTACTAAAATTCTGTTTAGAACTGAATAAAAAATTGTGATAAATCATTTTAAAAGGGGAAAACCTAGGGTTTTTTGTTTTTTTGTTTTTTGTTTTTTGGTAAGGCAGTTGGGGTTAAGTGACTTGCCCAAGGTCACACAGCTAGTATGTGTGAAGTGTTTGGTCTGAGGCCGGATTTGAACTCAGGTCCTCCTGACTTCAGGGCCGGGGCTCTGTCCACTGCGCCACCTAGCGGCCTGGAAAACCTGGGTTTTTAAAATAATGTGTTATTAATTGAGTAATAATTCTCTATATTATAGAAACTGAAGGAGAAGGAGTCTGCCTTACGGGAAGCAGAACAAAATGTTCTGTCAAGAGACAGGATAATCAACGAACTCAGACTCCGACTGCCTGCGACAGCAGAGCGGGAGCGCCTCCTGGCCGAGCTCAGAACGGAGCGAGAAGAGCCAGAGCACCACCGGGCTTTGAAGGTTGCTCACCAGACCATCGCCAACATGCAAGCCAGGTTAAATCAAAAGGAGGAGGTCTTAAAGAAGTACCAGCATCTCCTAGAAGAAGCCAGAGAGGTATTCTGAGGCGTAGCACGTGGCGGTTTTTGTGAAAGGCTTCTTCATGATCTCATTTACGTTTCAGGACTAAATACTGCAGAGGAAGGAGAGAGTTTACTTTATAATTTCAAAAGGTCCAGTTTAGGAATGGTTACTTCACTGTGATTGCTCAGTAAAACTGACCGGTTTGTGTTTGTGAGAATTTCTGATGTATTGATATAACAAGAGATAAGATGTTCAAATAAGCCCATTTGTGTTCACAAAAGAGAAATTGAGTTAGTAGGTGAAGGCAGAAGGGAAAAAAATAGAATAAACTCAAGCAGATGAATATTCAGAGATCTTGTGAGAAAAAAATCTTGAGCATTCAAAAATTTCCCAGAAAATATAAATGACTTTAAAGTAAAAATATAAATGACTATAAAGTAAGTTGTTGGTTTTTTTAAACACTAGGAAGAATATTTGATCAAATCCAAGGGTAGGCCCATGAACCACGTACTGGTGCATGAGGCCTGGCACTCCACCCTTCTTTTTCAAAAGAGCTCAATTATGCACAGACACACATTCTGCCTCATAGGGATTTAGACAAAATTACTTTTCTTTGAACTTTGTTGAGTTTAGCAGATGGGTTTTATTCTACAAATATTAATTTTAATCTCTTTCTGAGTTACCAGTAGGTTGTATATCTCTTGAGAGCTAGGCCTGTGTGCCATGTCTACCATTGTATTCCTTGTGCCCAATACAGTGTCTTGCGCAGAGGAGGTGCTTAATGAATGTTTTCTCTGTCAAATTGCTGGCCCTGAAAAATTCATCACCTGGTGGCCAGCTTTCTGGTTGTGAGCTTATCTTATATTCAATATCTTGTGCTTGGGTCCGACTTAAAGAGGGCTTCACTAGGCTAGCCACCAATATGTCAGGTTCAGACCCTTTATACAACAAAGCGGAGGAGCAAGTAAAAGTTTGAAATATTAATGATTACAAAATACATGACTTTAAATTTGAATTATGTGATATCACTGTCTTCAGAGGTGAAGGATCTTTGGATGTTTCCACAGGAGCAGAGAGAAATTATCAAGAAGCATGAGGAAGATGTTTTCATTCTTCATCAGAAATTAGATGTGCAGGCTGACAGTTCACTGAGCCAATTCAAAAAAACAGCCATGGTGAGAGCCTCGTCATCTTCTTTTCTGCTTTTATTCAGCGATTTTATTTTAAATGCTTCTATAAATTTAAAAATTGCATTCATTCTGTTTGTTTTAATAAGGACAATATCTGTAAGTAAACAAAGCCCTATAATTGAGTTCAGTCATTTAGATTTGGATATTCAGTGGGTCAAAGTTCACCTCAGAACATTGCTATGTATGGAAAAGGCCTACATCAGCTAGCTTGTAAAATAGGTTTTAGTCTTGTTCCTCAAAACCAGTTGTAAAAAGTGATTCCGTTTTAACCATTGGTATTTTTGGGTTGGACTTGAGTTTTCATTGATGTAAGGAATTCCCAGGAAGAAACTTCCATCTACCAAGCTGCTCTGCAACTTACATACTTTTTTTTTTTTTTGCTTTTTGGTGAGACAATCAGGGTTAAGTGACTTGCCCAGGGTTATACAACTAGTAAGTGTCAAGTGCTTGGTCTGAGGTCAGATTTGAACTCAGGTCCTCTTGACTTCAAGGCTGGTGCTCTATCCACTGCGCCATCTAGCAGCCCCTACAGCTTATATACTTTTGAAGAGTTGCCTAGGTTTATCACTTAACCCCAATTGCCAAAAAAAAAAAAAAAAAAAGAGTTGCCTAGGTTAATGAGACATTAAGTAGCAGAATCAGGGCACAAATCCAGACTCTCTGACACCCAAAGCTTCTCTCTGCCCCACTATGCCAGGCAGTATCTCTATTTCAACAACATGGGAAAATAGAAAAGAGCAGAAATCTGACCAGAGGCGAGGATCTCTGAACAATCTGTGCTTGCTCAGAAATGTATAAAATCATGATGATCCATCCAAATTAGAAAATGACAGAGCAGGGCTAAGAGCTCCTGTCTCCTCCCTCTTGTTTAGGGGCTCACATAGTAGACTGAAAAGTGTGCTAGACTGCCATGTTTCTCAGAGGATGACTGTTACTCTCAGAGTATGGTCAGATTTCATTTTCACACTTGTTACAAGTTCCGTGGCTTTGATACACCCTTTGATGTTCAGACCAGTAGGAATAAATTGATACCGGCTGCTTCCGTAGATAGAAGGCTGGGCCAGGAGTCAGGAAGACCTAACTTCAAATTCGGCCTCACTCACTAGATGTGTGACCCTGGACTTAACTTCTGTCTGCCTCAGTTTCCTCAACTGTAAAATGGGGACAACAATAGCACCTACCTCCCAGGGTATTTTTGAGGATCAAATAAAGATAATATTTTTTAAAAAGCACTTAGTGCAATGTCTCCCATATAGTAGGTACTATGTAAATGCTAGTCATTATTATTATTACTACTATTGATATTAATATTATTACTGTTTTAAGAATTATTTTACAGCATGTTAGAAACATTTCAGACCATAATTAACTTTTAATTTCCAAACATTTTTTAAATAAACGATGGTGTTTTTTTTTTACCATTTCAAATGAAAACATTACAGTTTATCACTCTTATTTTTCTAAGTATAAAAAGGCCTTGAAATTATTGATATTTGAAATGTAATTTTTAAAAATGTAAATTTTTAAAAAATTAAAATACAAATAAATGACTTCCTTAAACTGAAAATCTACAGGCAAAAACATGCTGGTTGTCCAAACCTTTCTCTCTTCCATAACTGTTTTCTGCCCAATGAAAAGGCAGTGCACATGAAAGAAATTGTATCTCTCTTGGCATGTATCTTTCCTGTTTTCTCTTAAAAACCTACTTTTTCTACTTAGATGTCATCACATTAACATATATATGTATGTATATATTATATATACTATACATATTATATATATGTAACATATATATGTATAAAATGTGTATACATACACATATGTATGTGCTTTGGTCTGTGCTCTAAGTCTATCAGTTCTCTATCAGAAGGTTGATAGCATGTTTCATCATGAATCATGAGTCCTCTGGAATTATGGTTGGTCATTGTGTTGATCAGTTACTGATTCTTTCAAAGTTGTTTCATCTTTACAATATTGTTATATAAATTGTTCTCCTTTTGCTCACTTCACTTTGCGTCAGTTCATATGAGTCTTCCCAAGTTTCTCTGAAATTATCCCTTTATACCATTTATACCATATACAGTAGTATTCCATCACATTCATATACCATAATGTGTTTAGCCATTTCCTAATTAATGTGCACTTCCTCAATTTCCAATTCTTTGCCACCCTGAAAAGAGCTGCTATAAATATTTTTGTACACATGAAATCTTTTCTTCTTTTTTAAAAAAATCTCTTTGGGGTCTTTATAGACCCTAGCATGATATTGCTGAATCAAAGGGTAGGAACAGTTTAATAGTTTTGGGGGGCATAGTTCCCAGTTGTTTTGTAGAGTGGCTGGGCCAGTTCACAACTCCATCAGTAGTACATTAATATACCTGTTTTCCCACAGCCCCTCAAGCATTTGTCCTTTTCCTTTTTTGTCAACTTAGCCAATTGGATTCATGTAAGGCGATACCTCAGAGTTATTTTAATTTGCTTTTCTCTTATTAGTGATTTAGAACATTTTTTCGTATGACTATTGATAGTTTATATTTCTTCCTCTGACATTATATGGGAAATAGCTCTTATTCTTATAAATTTGACTCAATTCCCTGTATGTTTTCTTTAATTTCTAATCATATCCAATTTGCTGAATTTGGCAGTGAATTTCTTGGCATTCACAATGAAAAAGAAAATACACTGGTCTATATGGTTCTAATTGACCGATAGGGAAAAAAAAAAAACCAAAAACAAAACCCACATACAGATATCATGAGAGACTAGCTTTTATCAGCCCTGAAATCAGGAAAAAATTTATTAGCTGGGCCTCCATCTAAGTGTCGAGTGGCCCTGGTAACTTGAACAGTGTCTTTGGCTGTGGTTTTATAAATGACACAGAGCTGCTGTCTACATGCCTCTCATACTGGCTTTCTCTTCAAATTTAGGACATGTTACTAAGTTTTGACTTTTAGCTCCGCGCAGTTTGTTTTCATACCGCCCCTTGCTCATCCTTGTTACTCCCACCTTCTGACTTCCAGGTGATGATGCTCCCTGCTTCAAATGCTCTTTTTTTTTTTTTTAACTTTTTTGGCGAGGCAGTTGGGGTTAAGCCCAGGGTCACACAGCTAGTAAGTATCAAGTGTCTGAGGCCGGATTTGAACTCCGGTCCTCCTGACGCCAGAGCTCTATCCCCTGCTAGTTGCCCCTAAATGCTCTTTTCTTTCCATCACTGTCACTTCCAGTGATTCCTCCCACCCACCAATAATAACCACCCTTGTAACAAATAAGTACCATCTAGTCAGATAAAGAAACAAATTATCAGTGACTAAAATACATGCATTCCATTTTGCATCTATTATTCATGCCCTATACTGGGAAGCATGAGGTTTGCTTCACCCTCAGTATTTTGAACTCATGACAGGTCACTGGATTCACCAGAGATTATTGTATATTGTGTTCACTAGGTTCTTCTTATTTTGATCTGCATCAGTTTATGTAGATCTTCACAGTTTTCTCTGAGTTTTTCACATTCAGCATTAAAAATGTAAATGAGTGAAACTTTATAATGTCCAACTTGTCGTTTTTTCCATATGCATTTTGTATATTGAGGGTAAATTAGATATATGTCTCTGCTCCTGGAAATTGAGGAAAAGAGCTTAGGGTATAATTGAATGCCCAAAAAGTACACTTAAGAGGAAAAAACAAGTCTCTGGCCATTTTGATGGTTTGACATCAAACTGTTTGGAATTGAATATAGTAAATTTACCTCAATACTAAAATGTGTCATTCTGCTCTGTTGATCAGTGTTTGGTATTTTGAGTCACCCTGTGCACATTGATACACAGCGAGTATGTGTGTAATTTTGTGATGGAAATGAATGATTAAAATTCAGATTGTTGTGTTTGAATAATTTGGGAAATAAAATTAAAACATGTGGTTATTGTAGTTTTGTATTATATATGAAAATGATTATCACTGTTCATATTTCATAGGAGTTAATGAAACAGCCTTCTGTACCAGTTGCTACCAGCAAGCATTTCATGCGTCTGGCAGAGATGGAGCAAACGGTTGCGGAACAGGATGATTCTCTTTGTTCACTTTTGACCAAAATGAAGAAAATGTCGCACGAAATAGACATACAAAAACAAATCACTTTAACGAAAGTCAAAGAATTCGAAAGCATCCGAGCCCGGTAAGTGCGATAAAGCAGTTGTGATTACTGTTGGAATGTGCACCAGGACAGGTGTTAGAAGGCCTAACTAAGAGTGAGTCCTGCCTTGGCCACTTACTGACCAGCTGACCTTTCTGAAAAATAAATTTTTATTGATAGTCTTTGTTTTTCCATCACCCATATTTATCCCCTTCCCCTCTCACAGAGAATCATCCATTAGAACAAAGAATTTAAAAAAAAAAGAGAAGAGTAAAAAAATCAGCAAAGCCAATATAAAGAAAAAAATCTGATATTATATGCAATTCACCCTATCTATAGAATACTGATTCTCATCTCTTTCTTGATTAGCCATCTGACCTTGAACAACTCACGTAATCAGAAGGTAGATATTGGTAATACTTGTTGTGAGGTATATGTGAAAGCACTTTGAAAACTAAAAGATATATAAGTGTAAAACACTATTGTTACTATTACTATCAGTATCGTTAATAGTGGATGTTAAGTGTTCTCCGAGTAGTATAATAGGAGTTTTGAAGGGATACTTTCAGAATATAGATTAAAAAAAAAAATCTAACCCTGAAGAAATTTATAGTTCTTCAGATCATAGTGATATTAAACTAATCCAATCTCCACGATCATTTATTCTGCTTTGGTTAACAAACTGTGATTTAAGGAAAAATTTTCTCCTTAGCAGAAATAGAGACTTAATAGTAATAGGTTTTATATTTGTGGTCTTCCAGCATAAAAGCCTTGTTTTTAAGAGCTAAATAGTAATTTTTTTTATATAACGTGAATTTGAATAAAGCCACTCTGTGTATTTTGATTGTTATTTAAATTATAGTACATGGCTATTTAGAAAATAATCATCTGTTTTATTCTTGTGTATTATTTAGGCCTGACAGATAAAATAAATGTTTTGTACTTTAAGATCCTTCTCATTTCCGTTTAAATTACCTCATTCAAATTCTACTAAACCTTCGTATTTACATTAGCAGTAGATACTGTTAGATATATTATCACATACACTAGATTTTTGATGTTTATTCATTGAATTTGTTGTGTATCAGAATCAGAATAAATCAAGCTAAAGTTCCATTACCCCACCCTCACCCGTACCCCACATGAATCAGGTTTTAGGAATCTGAATAATTGCCTAAGTATTTGTCTTTATATACTCTTTATTGAGCTAGGCCTACTTGTGTGCACTAGAATTAGACACAGTAGAAAGATTGATTATCTTCTTTTCACTTACATTGTGAGGAACCAAAACATGCTGATTCTACTATACCCAGCTACCTAACAAGCCATGGGCTTGTTAGATATATTGCTTGTGTTGCCAGATATATTACTTATATTCAGTTGCAGTAGCCACTTATTTAATTTGGTAATAGAGTCTTTGGAAACTTAAAACTTTAGTAAAGTTTATTACTTGGCAATAACCATCATATTTTTCCCATTGTAATTAATAAATTCCATCATAATTTGATAAAATTTAGTATTTTGTCATTGCAGCAAAGTTGGCATTCAAACTGAATTTAATTATTGAAGCTTGTGAGAAGATTGATGACTAATATGGTCTTTGTTTATCATAGACCATATGACTTGAGTAACAGAATTGCGTGGTGTCAGAGCTTTCCAGAGTGAGCACATGAATGTGGAGAAGCAGAGCCCCCTCACTTACCCAGGTTGCTGAAGAAGGATTTCCTGGGATGGAGGATTGTTCTCAATTTATTGTTCCATTATGGTTTGGAAGCTCATACTCCTAGGCCTCTCCTTTTCCATTTGTGACACATTCAGAGAGGCTTTCTGTCCACTTAAGGAGCTTATATCCCAGAAAACGTTCGTTCTAGCAAAATCAAGATAATTTGAGCATTCCATTAAATGCATGCTTGTTTCTTTATTCCAGCCTTGAAGAAAATCATGCAGAGGTTGTGAAAAAACTGAATGCTGAGATAGAAGACTTAAAATATTCTATGTCCCAGACAGAGAGGGAGCTGCAGTACTTTAAATCTGAAGTACAGATTCAGAAAGAAGCTAACACAAGAGCTCCAACAGCCACCATGAAAAATTTAGTAGAACGGCTAAAAGGCCAATTAGCCTTGAAAGAGAAACAGCAAAAAGTAAGTATTCAGCAACTCAGGTATTAATGGAAGAGAGTAATGTAAGATTATGTGTTGCTGTGATTTAGAAAGTAGTGTTAAAATATTTGCATTACATATTTCAGCATTTTGTTTTAATTAAAAAGAGATTCTTGATTCCCGTTAATTCCTTAACACTGGAAAATCTGGCCTTTCCTAAGAATGCCCTGAAATTACACTTAGCCCCATGAAAATCTGAGTACTTTAAATGTCCTTAGTGAGCTGTGCGGAGGTAGAGGTATTCTGGAATCGTGCATAGCTTCCTTTGATGAGTTCAGGTCCCCAGGCAAAGGATGACCCGGTGCCACTAGATCCACCGCTTCCTGATACCTGCTTCTCACTAGGTTTTCTGAACACTTCTCTCTCTCGGTCGTCCTCCTACCTGTCTGACCACTTCTTCTAAGTCTCCTTTGCTGGGTCTTCATCCAGGTCATGCTTGCCTGGCAAATATGGTTGCTTGCCCAGTGGGTGGGTGTTCTCCACTTAGACCCATCCACTGGGCAAGCATTAGTTACCATGTTAGGGGTCTTTGGAAGATCCTAGAAAATGGAAGAGGTGCCACAGGACTAGAGGACAGATACCTGGAGAAACACATTTCCTTCTTGTCATAGGATATCCAGTTCAGAGGATCGTAGATTTAGAAGTAGAATGGACTTTAGAGGCCATGTAGTGTAATGCCCTTTTTTAGATGAGAAAACTGAGGCCCAAAGAGATAAAGTATGTTGTAGGTAGGAATTGACAGAGCCAGGATTTGAACCTAGGTCCTCTGGCCCCAAATGCAGTGGGATAATCCTACTCCTTCTCGTCCAGTCACAATTGGTCAGTTTATGTTCACTGCTCCAGAGCACCTGATTGCAGAGGGCTTGGGGTGTCTAGCTCTTCATTTGTCTGAAACTCAATCCCAAATCATTTAGCTCCCTGCTAAATATGAGAGCAGCCTCTTTAGCATCTTACTCTGTCCCTCCCAAAGTTCATCTTGTTACTCTTTGTCTTTTCTTTCAGCTTCTCCCTAGCTTTTTGTAGAACTCTTTGTAAACTTCTTTTCTAAAGATTTCCTCATAAAAAATGAAAACAAAGCAGTAAACTTAAGACATTTCTCATAAGAAAGAAGATGATTGCTCCCATTCTCTCTCTCCTATTTTCTTCATCTAGACTTATGGGTTAGGGCTAGTGCACATGCATGGCCTCCACAGGGCAAGGTGCTTCGCTTCAAGCCATTTCTCAAGCACCATGCTCAACTCTCAGCACAAATGCTTTCTGCAAGGTCAAATTTAAGTTCTTAAAGTTATTAATCCTATCTGAACTCCTAAAGAGATAGACAGGGTCTCCCAGGGCGATGCACTCAAGAAATGATTTACATGTGTATCCAATAAGGGCTGAAATAGATAAGCCATCGGCTTCCTTTCAGCTCTGAGACTATAATTTAAAATGATTACTTTGGGGTGAGCTTCAGTCTGTAGCAGGAGAGGCTCTGCTCACATCAGTAGGATTGGAGAGCTGTCAAAATACTGAAATAGATACACGCATACATATGTATGTACGTATGTTTTTACTAAAGCCCTTTTCTCTTGGATTGTATTAGAAATTCATTTCTTGTGTGTGTGTATGTTCATTTAGCAATTTTTCATAGCAAATCCTTATTTTTATGAAATGCTTTTTTTATGGATTTGAATCTCCCTAGGCCCTCAGTCGAGCACTTTTGGAACTCCGGGCTGAGATGACAGCTGCTGCTGAAGAACGCATCATTCTTTCCGCATCCCAGAAAGAGGCAAACCTCAATGTTCAGCAGATTGTTGATCGCCATACTAGAGATCTCCAGGTGACCACCAGTGACTTAGGCCGTTTACTTTTGAACTAAGAATTCTCTTGAAAGACAGTTTATTTCAGGATATAGGCAAGCTAACCCAGTGAATGCAGTATAATGTGTACATTTGATGGCACATTTTTTTTTTTTTTGGTGAGGCAATCGGGGTTAAGTGACTTGCCCAAGGTCACACAGCTAGTACATGTCCAGTGGTTGGTCTGAGGCTGGGTTTGAACTCAGGTCCTCCTGACTTCAGGGCCAGTGCTCTATCCACTGTGCCACCTAGCTGCCTGATTGCCCATTTTTTTTTTATGGTAGAAAATTTCATTCTCTGTGGCATGCAGGTGTTTATTATGTGATAAGTCAAATTGTGGATAGTAGTATAGGGCATAAAGTGTGAGAGGGTGGTCAGGCTATTTGAAAATGGAAAGAGATAATTTTCAAATCTCACCTTGGGCTCACAAATACTCTGTCCCAGATCTGTATGAAAATACCTTGACACACACACACACACACACACACACAAAATCTGTCTGCAGATGCCCAGTGACTGAGCTCTACAAACCTGAGGCCTGTTCCTGGGTGACATCTCTAGTAAGCTGGTTAACTGCTAGAACAGGGAGATTGGAAACTTCCTAAGTGACAGGAGGTTGCATATCTGTGATTAGTGCATAACCCTTCTTACTTTCTTCAGAGGGTGAGACATGAGGAGCCAGTTTAGATCCTGTGCCTCACCTCACCCTGATACTTTAAACTTTATAGAACTATGGTACTTCCTTTTATCTTTGGCCTGAATTCTCCAAAGAAATGAGCTGCTTCCTGTTATAATCTTATTAAAACCGTTACTTACACTCACATGGTGTTATAAATGCACATGTTTTTGGTCTGCGAATAACTTAACAAATCATTCTTTTTCTGATGATTGTCTTTCCCATTGAGGTCTGTCCACTAACCAGCTTCCTGGTCTTTCTCTATAGAGGTCAGGGAGGTATGGGTGTGGGATAAAACATCAAACTTATTTGATACATTGATTAGTTTTGCTGAAATTTTTTTTCTTTATTATGAGATTGCTTTCTAGGGAAGGGTACAGAGAGAGAGAGAGAGAGAGAGAGAGATACAAAGGAAAATGTAGATGATGTAAAAACAAAAGATTTCCATAAAAGTCACTGAAACAGAAGCCCAGTGTTTGATAAATTCAGGACCATAACTTGCTGTAGAGGACCTCAGTTTTTGACAAGAAATGCTAAGAAAATTGGGAAGCAGTTTGACAGAAATTGGTTTTAGACCAACAGCCTATATCACAGGAAGCACAATTAAGTGGATACACAACCTGAATGTGAAAGGTTACATCATTAAAAAAAATAGAAAAGAACGAGGTAACCTTTCACCACTGTGACTAAAAGGATAATGCTTAACTAAAGAAGGAAGAGAGATTATCATAAAAGGCAAAATAGACCATTTCAGTTACATGTAATTAAACTTTTGCTTGACTGAAATTGATGAAAAAGAATAAAAAAAGAAACTGTTGAATGGGGAAAATATTTTCAATCATTTCACTGATACAAGTTTAGTATCAAAGATTAGGAAATTCACACAAACATATGAGATATACCTCAATACACAAAGAAATGATTTTCAAAAGAAGGATTGCAAAGAATAAATGATCCAAGTGAACACATTCCAAATCAGTCATAGAAAAAGATTGCAAATGAAAACAGCTGAGATTTCACCCTGAAATTATTGGGCATCATGACAGAAAACTGGAACAGTCATGCCACACAAAGGCTTTAAGAAGCCTAGAAGGACTCTTGGTAGAATGATGACTTGGTCCAGCCGTTCTAGATATTGGCTTAAAATGGTGTAAGAAAAGGGACTAAATTGTTTGTACCTTTGACCCTATAGTCTTCCTACTGGACAGACAACCCAAGGGGGTCAGACAGAGAAACCAACACCCAGTGTATAACAGAATATTCATAACAACTCTCTGTATGTTAGCAAAGAACTGGAAATATAGTGGATGACCTAAAAGTGGGCAATGGCTGAAAAAAACTGTAGTATGTGAATGTCATTGATTAGTATCATGTGGCAAGAAATGATGAATGTAAAGAATTCAGGAACATGGAACATTTATATAAATTGTTGCAGTGAAATAAATCGACTCAAAAGAACAGTATACATATAATGAGATCACAGTGAAACCAGACCCTTCGTGATAGAACGCATAGTGATAGTTCTGGGGAATAGATGGTGAAACTTACTTCCCCAGAAGCAGAAGACCTAAGCGTAGAATGTTGTATACGTTGTCAGACAGGGTTGCTGTTTCAGGTGTCCTTGCTCTGTTTTCCTTTGTTACTAGAGAAGGTTCGGTTTGGGATGTATGTGGCCAAGTGGTTTTTCCAGAAAGAATGATATAAAAACAGAATTTATTGTTGTCTTATTTTGTTAAAAAAAATTTCTAAACAGAATATTTCCGTTTCCCTTCCTTGTAAAGGTTCATATAGAAGATTTAAGTGAAAATCTTCTAAAATGTAAAGAAGCTCTTAAAACAAGTAAAAGCAGAGAGGACTCTTTGAGTAATCAGTTGGATGACTTAAACAATGAAATGCAGAAAAAACAGAAAGCTTATAATAAAATACTTAAAGAAAAAGAAGAATTAGAAAAAGAAAATGAAGAACTGAAGAAGCGCATTAAAAGGTTAACCTGTGGATTGCAGGTAAAGATTTTTCATGTGTGTGATAGTTTAGATTTTGATTTACCATTTATGTGGTAGTAGAGCAGTTTTTGTGTATCAAATTTTACTTCAACCTGTCATTGAATCTCTACCTAATTAATAAAATTGGTTATCAGATCAGTTTGGTTAAAACAGCTATCCATTGTTAAGTGACTTTTGGAATCAGAGTAATAGCACAGTATACCCTTTTCTTACTGAGGTGCAGAAAATTATACTTGGTAGTACACATATATTGTTTAACAATATTTAACAGTATTGTTTAACAAGTGTTTTTATTAGATGTAAAAATGTTTTCAAAACATTTCCCGTAATAAGAAAAGTTACCTCACATTTTATTTCAGTATTTGACTGACTAAAATGCAAAGATGTACTTTAACTTTTCAGAGCAAACCTCCTGTAGATAACAAACAGAGTGTTATAGATGAACTTCAGAAGAAAATTAAAAATTTAGAAAGTCAACTGGAAAAATTTAGTAGTGAAGCAGAAACGAAAGAAAAGGTATGTAAACAACAGTTCATCATTATTGTTCAAATGGTCATGTATGTTTCTAGATTAAATTGCTCTATCAGGCAACAAATACATTGATTGCCTGTTAAATATCCACACCTGTGCTAGGCTCTTTGTATAATACAAAAATATGTGAGACTTGTCCCTTGATAGCTTAGGACTGGTTAGAGAAACTCTACCACCAAATAGGAGACAGAGAAAACCCAGCCATGTTATGGGATATTGAATACTAGCTCAGAAGGCATGCACAGAAGGGAGAGATCATTGTGATCTGGAATACTCAGACTAGACTCAAACTGGGCTTTTTAAAGATAAGTAGCTTTGAGAGCAGAGGAAAGGAGAGCATTCCCAATGGTCAGTCAGTAAACATTTATTAAGCACCTACTATGTGCCAGGCACTGTACTTGATAGTGGAGATACAAAAAGAGGCAAAAAATAGTCCCTTTCCTTAAGGACTTCACAATCTAATAGAGAGACAATATGCAAACAAATAATGTACACAACCTATATACTGAGGTTGTTGTGTCTGACTAACTCCTCATGACCTCATTTAAGGTTTTCTTGGCAAAGATACTGGAATGGTCTGTCATTTCCTTCTCCAGCTCATTTTACAGATGAGGGAACTGAAGCAAACAGGGTGAAGTGACTTGCAGAGGGTCACACAGCTAGTAAGTGTCAGACTGGATTTGAACTTGGGAAGATGAGTCTTCCTGTCTCCAGGCCTGGCAATCTATGCAGTAGGATAAATAGGAAATAATAATTCTAGAAGGCACTAGAATTAAAAAAGATTAGGAAAAGCTTCCTTTAGAAGATGTTGTTGTTTCTCCTTCATTCTCGAAGAGGACCATGACATCAGGGAGGTGATGCCATGACTTGCAAGTGAATTGGATTTAAGTGAGGGAGGGCTGTGCGAAGTCACCAGCCTCACTTTCTCCTCCAGAGCCATCTGGGTCCAATGATAAGACATCAGTCAGGAGGACTAGAGATGACTCCTTTTAACTGAGACTTAAAGGAAGCCAGGGAAACCAGAGATGGAGATGAGAAGGGACAGGGCTCCAGGCATGGAGAACAGCCAGAGAAAATGCCTACAGCTGAGAGGTAGAGTATCTTTTTTGTGGATCAGCCAGGAGACAAGTGTCACGGGATCAAAGAGTATGTGTTGGGGAATGAACTGTAAGAAGACTGGAAAGGTAGTGGGGGGCTAGGTTATGAAGGGCTTTGAATGCCAAATAGAGCGTTGTGTATTTGCTCCTAGAGGTGATGGGGGCCCCGGGAGTTTACTGAGTATCAGAGTGGAATGGGCCAAGCTGCCAGGTGATCGAGCATAAGCAGACGAGGAGACACAGACGGCGTGGGAAAGCCTAGGTGGACATTAAAATACCTGGATGCAGATTCCAGCTCTGCCACTCACTTGCTATTGACCTTTTGCAGTCCACTTGACCTCACTAGTTCTCAGTTTCCTCATCTGTAAAATGAGGGGTTTAGCCTAGTCAATCTCTAAGGTCCCTTCCAGCCCTAACAGACTACTAGGTGATATAATCATAAGACAATGAGCAATAGTATTATGAGCTCACATTTATAATGTGATGATAATAATATTATGAGCTCATATTCCTCATCACAACTGTGTGAGGCAAGTAATATGGATATTATCATCTCCATTTTACAGATGAGGAAACTGAGGCTCAGTGATGTTTAGTGTCTCACTTATGGTCTTATGGCTTTTCGGTATCCAAGGTGAGACTCAGATCTGACTCTGACTCTTGACTCTAGTGCTTTTCCCACTATATTACTCATTTTATAGACTTGCCCTTAGAGAAGTGGAGGTTGTGTTGGAAATAGTGGAAGGGGCAGTAGGAGAAGAGTTTATGACAGGTCTTAAAAGTCGGGCAGAGAAGTTTAGACTTAATGCAATAGGGAGTAACAAGTGTTTTCTGAAGGACGGTCAGGCTCTAGGTATGCTTGATGGGTTGGAAATGGATATCGACCAGTCAGGGAGATCCAAGCTCATCATTTGATGAGGATTTGGTTTGGGGTGGCAGCAATGTGAATGGAGAGGACAGAGCAGGTCTAAGAGACATTTAAGAGGACTTGATCATTAGAGGGTGATTGCAAGGGGGAAGAGAGTTGTAGCATTGTATATTGAGAAGATACAGTTTTTTGAGAAATTTAGGAACCAGAAGGAGGAAGCTTGGTGGAGTATGTTTGGGTAAAAATGAACGCAGGTAGAAATGGAAATGATACTGCGTTTGGAGTTCACTGCATTCAAGGAAAGAGGAATAGATGAGTTTAAGAAACAGATCAGAAACCTAGCGAAGATGCAGTGTAGTAGGGATCAAGGACTTCAGTTTTCCAGATGGTTGGTTGAACTCACTTTCTGTCAAAAGCAAAGCAGCTAATGATTTCCTGACACGCCTTAATGATAACTTCTTTCTTCAAAAGGTATAGGAGCCATAAAAGGGAATTTTTATTTCAGATATGATTCTCATCAATGGAGGAGGAGGGACTGGTTGAAGGATTGGGAATGAAGGGAACTTCCGTTGGGAGAAACATCTGATTCATCTTAGAGTGTTTCATGAAAAAGAAGAGGAAACTGAGGCTAGTTTAATATGCACCATAGATTTTAGGGGAGCAGATTTCATAGGGTGCAGAAGGATAGGAAGTATCTTAAGGACTAGAATTCTATGGGGCATGTCAGCCCAGTAGGAATAGAAAACCTTCAAGAATGAAATCCTGGCATTACAAAGAGAAACAATCTCAATGAGGAAGAAAAACCTGATTTGTTTGAACAGATCAGTGGCAATGCAGTAGCCAACTGGGAATTTAAAAGTACTTGTTCACAAAGTGGAAGAAAGGAGAGGTAATAAGAGGATGAATTCAAAACCATGGTGGGATCTTACAGGGATACTCTAAGGAGTACTGAAGCTCAGAATGAGGGTAAGGAAAATAAAAGGGAATCATGGGGTTTCTGCTCTCATGGGGGAAGGGACAGACCCTCTGGTAGGAATGGATCAGGTGATGAAGATGGACAGCACAGAGGAGTCCAAGCTGCTCGGTTTTATACTTTGCTTCTTTTTTCTTTGCCAAATGAAATGATCTTTGTGCAAGAAAGTACAGAACAAAAATGGTTCATAGAGAGTTGATGACCCAGGTAAGTAAGGAGATAGCAAGAGAGCACCCCAGTACCCTTGGGGAATTCACGTCACCCGATCCAGGCAGGTTCCGTACTTGAATTCTGAAGGAACTGCCTGATTGATGGATGTATGTACTGAATCACAGTCAGCGACCTTTCTTTTTTTTTCTTTCTTTTTTTTTATGGTAATTTTTATTTATTTTTTTGTTTTCAACATTTACTTCCGCAACATTTTGAGTTCCAAATTTTCACCCCATCTCGCCCCTCCCCCCACCCCAAGGTGGCATGCATTCTGAATACCCCTTCCCCTAGGCTGCCTTCCCTTCTATCTCTCCCCCCGTTCTCTTATCCCCTTCCCCTTCAGTTTTCCTGTAGGGCAGGATGGATTTCTCTACCCCATTTCCTGTATTTCTTATTTCCCAGTTGCATGTGAAAACATTTATTTTTAAACATGTGTGTTTAAAACTTTGGGTTTCAAATTTCCTCCCTTCCTCCCTCCGCACCCACCCTCATTGAAAAGGCAAGAGACTCAATATAGGTTATACATGTGCAGTTATGCAAAACACTTCCATAGTAGACATGCTGTGAAAAACTCACTCTATTTCCCTTAATCTTATCCTGCCCCCCCATTTATTCTATTCTTTCTTTTGACCCTGTCCCTTCTCAGAAGTATTTGCTTCTGATTACTCCCTTTCCCAATCTGCCCTCCTTTCTATCATTCCCTTACTCTCTTGTCCCCTTCCCCCCCCCATTTTCCTGTAGGGTAAGACAGATTTCCACACCCAAGTGAGTGTGTATGTTATTCCATCCTTAAGTCAAATCCTATGAGAATAAGATTCACTCATTTCCTCTCATCTTCCCCTGTTTCCCCTTCACTGTAAGAGCCTTTTCTTTTCTGGTTTTTTTTTTTTTTTGTGGGATAATTTACCCCATTCTACCTCTCCCTTTCTCCTTCTCCTAGTATAAGTCAGCGACCTTTCAAAGGTCCTGAGGTGTGCCACAGAATTGGAGGACAAATGTTGTCTTAGAAGTGATTTAAAAAAAAAGGAACAGCTTATGTAAACAATATTAATTGATTAACCAAGCTTTACTATCTATCACTACATTTATTGATTGCCTACTAAGCCCTCACATCTGTGCTAGGTGCATGTGGATTAAAGTAATACCATTGTATCATAACTTCTGTCAGCCTTATCATAGCATGTAAATAAGAGCTATTATCATTCTTTTTCTCTTCTTATTTTACAGAGCTGCCAAGCAGAGTTAATTCGATGGGAAGAAGGTAAAAAATGGCAAGCTAAAACTCAAGGGATGCGAAACAAATTGAAAGAAAAAGAAAAAGAAGTTGATACTTTAACCAAACAATTGAATACTTTAAAAGAGCTTTTGGCCAAGTAAGTTTAAATTTATTTCTGAACCTCATTACATGAAAAAAGAATCTCTTTTTAATGAATTTAAAGCAATAGTATAGCTTTAATGTAACTAAAAAAGACATGTCTGTATCATTGGTTCTAATTGTAAACTATATTTTGGTTCATCTTGTTCTTAAGAAACATGTTTTAAATGTTTTTATAAGAATTATGTGAGTGATGTTCCTAGTTTTTAATAAATTAATTCAAATCATATATAACCTTTGATATATTCCAAGTGTATGTGTAAGTATATAGATAAATGTATGTATAGATGAGCAAACCAAACAGAGTATGTCTTATGTTACTAATAATGAAATATATATTAAATTCTACAGGTCTGATAAAGATAAAATCACATTACAAAAGAAACTAAAATCAAGTGGTGTGACTGCTGATCGTGTTATGGGAGTACATGCTTCAGATTTAGAAAAAGAATTAGAAGAACTTAGAAAAATGAATATTGAACTAGAAAATGAAATAGGTTATATGAGGTAAGCAGTTTTAAGGATTTCTGCTATTTAAATGAAGTGCCAGAGTTTGAGTATAACAGCCTCTTATCTGAATCTTTTAAATATGTTCATCTGCTTTGTGTTAAAATGACAGATTTCATTCAAAACCCATTCAGAATAATAGAATTGCAGAATTAAAAGGAGCCTCAGAGGCCTCTAGACCCTACTTAAAGCAAAACGGTATTAACTGACATTTCTATTGTACTTTCAAGTTTACAATTAAGAAATTTTTCCCTCCTCACATATATTACATCCAGCCCATGAATTCATTCCATATAGAAGCTCACTTGCCTCTCACAACTCTGTGAAGGTCACACTCCAGGCTCATTTCTCATGGCATGGTAGTATTCCCTTACGTTCATGAACCACACTTTGTTTAGCCCTGCCCCGGTTGATGACCAGCTGCTTTGGTTTTAGTTCTTCACAGCTACAAAAAAATGTTGCCATGAATATTTTGGTTTAGGTGGGGCATTTCTGTCTTTGGGTTCCTCCTTGGAGTGGATGAGTATGGCTTCTTTTTAAAAAAAAAAATTAATTTATTTATTTTTAGTTGTCGACACTCACTTCCATAAGATTTTGAGTTTTAAATTTTTTCCCCTTGAGCCTGACTTCTTAGTGACGCTATACTAGGTAGCAGTAAAAAACTGTGGTTTATATGAGATGTAAATTTCTTTTTCCCTTTTTGACTCCTTGCAGGACCCAGCAAGCTCTTCCCCGAGATTCTGTCATAGAAGATTTACATTTACAAAATAGATACCTTCAGGATAAGCTTCATGCTTTAGAAGAACAGATTTCTTTAAAAGATACATTTTCTAGGCCTTTAGTAAGTCTATGATTTTATTTTATTAAATGTCAGTTGATAAAATAGGAATCAGTTGCTAATGTTTCATTTTGCTTAAGAATTCTGCTAGCTGTCTTTGTTTCTTTTCTTTTATATTCTATACTAGTTTGCAAGTGAACATTGTAATATCTGATAAATATTAACTTAGGTGATTGTTTCTTGTCTGGTACTGGTAAAAATGTGTTATGCATTTCCATTCATTATGAGTGTCTAGTGTGGCTCTTATGTGCTATAACCATTAAAAGTTTTTTTTGTGCCTAGGGGCAATGTGCTAGTTAAAACAGAAAAAAATAGGCATCCTCATTTCCAACAAGTGAACATGATATGTGCCTGTTTTTTCTCTAAAAATGAGTTATGAATGTGGAATTGTTTGTGAAAGTCTTAATGTGAGACATTCAGCACAGGTTTCTTTTCTATCCTTGTTTTCTTTTTCTTCTTTTCATGCTCCATCTCATCTTTTGCTTCAAAGCAGGGTTCAGCATGTGACATTACCACTCTCTCCTCTCTTGCCACCCAAACTAATAAACGCAAGTATTTTGTCTTTCCCAAAAAGAACAATTTACTTGGGAACAAAAAAAGCCCTGTAACAGTCTTCTCAGTTAAAAACAGGAAGAAAATAGTTGGCAGTGAAAGCTTTGATGATCCGCACCGTCAGATAACTGGCAGTGGTCTGGCCTCTGGTCAGTGCGTCGATGCAGGTTCCCAGTCAGTTGAGGCTCTGGGACCTGCCGGTTTAGCGCCCTCGGAGCCCAGGGAATGCAAGCAGTTGAATTCATCGAGGCAAACTGATGCTGACAGGGAAGATTTTACAGCTGATTTTGAAAATGAGCCAGATGGAGAGAAGGAGGGACTGAATCAAGGCTGTTACAGAAATGGAAATGGAGTACGTGAAAATGAAGAAGAGAAAAAAGAAACAGCTGAATGTGCACAAGGAAACCCAGAGAACGTGAGTGACAGACGTCCGTCTGAGCCAGAAGAACTTGCCAGAGGAGAGTTTGAAAATGCCGAAGTGAATGATGGCGTAAATCCACACCTTGAAGGGAATGCACAGACAGACATCGCTACTGAGGGGATCAGATTAAGCCAAACGTCTGCTGTGGAAATCGCTCAGGTTTGGTAACAGAGGCAGTCTTTTGTTAGCAGAGATGGGTGGTGTGATACAAACTGAAATGTACAGAATGTTTTTTTTTCCACTATTGACTTTTGGTATCTCTGTAGCTAGACTTCTTTCCAAGCTTGTCTTTTTAACTAGTTTGCACAAAATACTCCTTTTCCAGTATGGCATTGTAAAGACGCAGGCACAGGAAGAGCCCCTGCAGGTTTTGGGCTCCAGCCTCTAGCAGGTTCACTCTTGATCTGGGCAGCCAGAAGGATGGAGGGGTGAAATAATAACTTACTTTCTGTTCTTCTCCATGGGTTGCTGATAATGGGAGGACCAACTCCCACAGTTTCCCCCAATTACTCTTCTCACAGGGGCGGGTGAGAATGGGGCAGCAACCCCGATGTAGCAGCACAACTCCTGTCTCATTCCCCTAAGCCTCGATGGGGGCCAGTCAAGGCACTCACAGCATTCCTAGCTGGCACATTGCCCCCGTCACTGACCAGTGCTCACCTGATTTGTAGCAGAGCACGCAAAGAAGGCATCTTGCCAGCAATAGCCTCACAAGTTTACATGAACTCTAGCAATCTTATGCTGACTTAGCACTGCTCAAGCACAGTGATTATTTACAATTAAAATCAACTGTTTACATTATCTCATCATTAGTCTCACTGTGCAATCACAGTAGAAACTGTTTACAATGTGAAATCCTGGGATCTAGTAGATTGTTATGGTCATGGACCCTGGAAACTATTACCTAAAAAAGTAACAAAATCCACCTTACAGGCAGGAACTGAAATTTATTTTTAGTTGAAATTTCTAATATAGTTAGCTTTTAATTTTTTAGTGTTGGTATATTCAGAAAGCAATTTGATGTGGCAAAAAGAGAAAGATTGTTTTCTCTCTTCCTCTCCACCAAAGAAAATTACTAACTGAACAGATGAAATTACAAATGAACTGCCATTAGAGGGAATGCCATCACAAAGGAAGGCTACAAACAACATTAACAATAATGTCTTTACCATGCACATGGCTGATAATTCACAGCAACAGTACTTTGTAGGTCTGATTACAACATGATTGTCTCTATCACATCTACCTTCTCTAGTGCTTTGTGTTAGGACAGTAGTCCTTTATGAAGAAATAGCTGAAGGTGCATTATTTGTATTATAATGTAGAAGAAGGAAAGTGCAGCTGAGATTGAGTTGAACTCTTGGCAGTTTTTTGATGTCAACCGGCCATTTGGTAGCATTGACCTTTCCATTCTCCCTATCTCAAACATCCCAGCCACTTCCTATAGAAAAATCCACCCAACTTCTCCTTCTCTCACTGTACCAGGCATTCTAGAAGTAAGAACAGGCAAAGAGTTCAGAAACATAGGTGTTTGGTGCCTGGCCTCACCTTCTTTCCTTCAGGTTCTAAGTACGTTCATCTGCTGACTTACTTCACTTGTGGAAGCTTTCCCTCATGCTAGGACTGCAGTCCCTCATCCTCTCCAAATCCTTGCCTTCACAAACCTTAGCTCTGGTGCCACCTTCTCCATGAAGTCTTCCCTGAACCCCTCAGCTAATGTTGTCTTTCCCCCAGTTATCTTGGGATTGTGTTGCCTCCTCCAGTAAAAGGGAAACTCTTTGAGCACAGGAACTGTTGGGTTCTTTGTTTTTGAATTCCTAGGGCCAAGTAAAGTGCCCAGCACTTAGTAGGTGCTTAATGGAGGCTTGTGGAATTGCATTGTTATTTTTACTTGCTAAATAAACACAAAAAGGGTTACCTGCTGTGGTGTTTCACTTCATCCTTCACTCCTACAGGATAAAAACCTGATTTGGTGAATCTCTACATACTTTAAAGTAATTATTTTCTAGAGTTTAAAGCAGTGATTTCCAAAGTGGCTGATACTGCCTTTTGGGGGGGGGGGGGATGGAATGATTGGTCAGGGGGCAGTAATAGCCTCAGGTGCAATTGTATGATTAATCTGAGACTTCTTTCCTATTGTAAGATTTCAGGATGGGGCGGTGAGTAATTTTTTTTTTTTTAAAGGGGGCAGTTGGCCAAATAAATTTGGAAACCTCTGGTCTCAAGAAACAACTATTTTAACTTTTTCCTATACAAATCCTGTTCTCATTTCCTTACTTTGATTTCTCTGGATCTTCTATAATTTATCTACCTCCCTTTTGCAAAGGTTCCCTTTCAGACTACGCATTTTCCCCTGTAGTATGAGTTTATGAAACATTTTTTCCTATTTTTGTTCCTGAAGTCAACAGAATTGGGATTAGGTGGTCGGTCTAACAGAGAACAATTGCTTCAGAAGGAAAACCTGAAGGTCTCATCTGAAAACATTGAACTAAAATTTCAACTTGAACAAGCAAATAAAGATTTACCAAGGTTAAAGGTAAATTTTTCTGTATTTTAGAAATATACTATAGTCACCAAATCTTTATTTTTACCATATGTATGTATTATCTTAGCTTGTGAGAAATAAAAGTAGAAAATCCTTATAGCCATTTCATTTTGCTGATAAACGTGTTTAGTGTGTGTGTGTATGTTGATTACTACTTTGGAATATAAGACAGTTCATACACATAGCACCTTTATTAAGAGTTGGCATACTGTACTGTAAGAATTACGTTCATTTGTAAGAAATTATATTTTGTAGATATCACCAGGTATCTGGCTGATATTTATTTAAATCTATGGTTTTCCAAATCTAAATCTGGTTGCTAAAATGTATAGTTTCCTTTTTTTTCTCTGCTACCTAATAGTTTTTTAAAACTAATTTGTTTTTCATGTAAAAATGAGTTATTAGCTTTTCTAGCATCTGACTGCTTCTTCTGGTTGTAAGGTTAAGCAATACCTTGCAAGATATTCCTAGTCAGATGCGAAAGCAGAATAAATAAAAATGCTTATTGATTGATTTAACTTAAGTAATGTTTTGGGTCAATATTATTTCAATAACTTCAATGAATTACTATTTCTGTTAGAAATTCAAGTTTATCAATATAGCATACCGAGACAGTAATGTAGTACTCCTTGCTTGATAATAAACTGGCACTTAAGATGTTTGTTGAATTACTGAATGAAATTAAATAAGAATACATTATTTTTCTCAATTCCTCGAATTCTTGTATAAGTATGAAGACTAACTTTTGGGATCTACTGAATTTTCTAGAAGACTAATAGTGGAAATAAAATCTTACGCTCATCTTTTCTTTTCACATTTCATAGACTTTGTAAATTTATAACATCTTAGAATCAGAAACTCAGTGAATAGCCCTACTATTAACTGAGGCACGAATGCCCTCTGCAGCATCTGTAACAAGATTAGCATCTGCTTGAAACCTCCCATCCTGGGAAATTTGCTATTTGATGAGATGGTCTGTTTGGACTACTTTAATTATATGGAAATTATTTCGTTCTGAGATACATCTTCCTTTAACTTTACCCTCTAAGTCTGAGCAGAATAATCTGTTTCCTTTTACATGATATCCTGTAAAATAATTGAAAACAGTCATGTCTACTATTAAAAAAAAGTATATTGAAGGAAAAAACAAATCATTATGATGGTAGTTAAGGAGGGCTCACAATCCAGGGGAAAATTTCCTTTAAGGTTCTATAATTTTTTTTTTTTTTAAGAGTCAGGTGAGTGATATGAAAGAAATGTGTGAACTTCTGAAGAAAGAGAAAGCTGAAATTGAAAGAAAGCTTGGCCAAGTTAGAGGGGTAAGTGAATAAGTGTTACGTTGTGACCATGTGCTTTCAGGATTCCTGAACTGAAAAGGAGAAAATCATTTCTACATATAAATTACTAAAAAAGATATTGTGTGTTGGCTAATGCCATCCTTAGCTTCTCTTCTCAGCAAAATGATTCTTTCCATAAAATAAATTGCTTTGTCTCTTCCACAGTATAAACCATGACTTATCGTCACTGACTCTTTGAACAAGTAGGTTCAATCTGAAGGCCTCAGTCTAGCATTTGAGATGCTAAGATAATGGCAGAAGGGTAGAGCATTCTTACTTCTCTCCAGACTAGCCGCCTGTCCTAATAAAGCTTCTTCACTTGCCCTGTCCTGAACACAGAATCTCAGCTTTGGAAGAGACCTCAGGGTCATCTAGTCCGACCCAAATTTGGAGAAGAATCCCCCCCAACATGGCGTCCTGGTGGTCCTTCAGCCTGTGCGGGAAGACCTCTCCTCTGTGCTACTTTGTTCATGTCCATCTTCACGACTTCGGGTGCCTTCACTTCTATTCGATACATTTTTCTTCCATCTTTTGGCCAGTTCCTGATCTCTTCCCATCCCAGATGGAGAAGATTTCCACTGACTGAGCCTCACACATTCGTGTGTCTATTTCATGTACTATTCAGTTATATCTGTTATATCGCTCTTTAAAGAGGCTTCTCACCGTTGGTGCAGGAGTCAGAATAGAGGCAGAGTCACATCCTTCATCTAAGACTTAGTAGATATGTGACTGTTGGCCAATCAGAACTTCTCTGGAGCCTCAGTCTCCTCACTTGTAAATGGGCTTATAATAATACCAGCAGTATCCACCTGTAGGGTAAGGTTGTATAAGTATTAATAAAATACGCAAAAACTTTAAAGACGTTGAAGCGCTAGAGCAAGACTGCTCGTGATGGAAGCAGCACTATGGAAGTTCCTGGGAGAAAAGGATAGTCTTCTCAAGGAATTTGTCACTTTCTTTTTTATCTTCCCATATCCCACCAAGTACAGCGCAGCATCGGGTAATCCCACGCTGAGTGCTGAGTAAACGCTGCTGAGGGGACAGGATCACAGAGTGGCTGCCATAAGACCAGGCAGTTTCACACACACAGAACCCCCTGGGACGACCCTAGTTTGTACCACTTCTTTTTTATCCATTTCTGTAATGTAAAATGTCCTAGGGTGGATTGGGCAGGTGGGTATGATAGACCCTGGACAATCTAGCTTTATGAGGTTAGTGACTTTATCAAAATACACGTACTCCCCTGAAGTCCTGCTCCAATGCTAATTACAAAAGGCGACCCTGAGTTCTTGAGGGCTGTCCCAGCGGAGCCTAAGCTGCAACGTGTCTGACAAAGCAGAGTTTTGAATCTAGGCCTAACAGCATACTGTATGTCTGTTAACCGAGGACCATCCTCGCTAAGTTTTAAAAGACTTGTCTCCAGGTGGCCTGCAGGATGATGAAATGTTCAGCCATAGCATGTCTTAAAGACAGTCTACTGTCCAGTTACAGGGGCTGTCTTCTGGGTGGAGGAGGAAGCACCCCAACTGATGAAATCTCAGGGCCTTGAAATGTTGAGGAAATGCATTTCAGTGACTAGATTTAAGTAGGCAATTGCATCCTTTGCGATCATTCATTGATCACTGGGAATACTCATTGGCAATAACGATAGAAGCTGCCATTCATATGTGACTTCAAGTTTTCAAGGGGCTTTATATAGGGGGTGGGGGTGTCAAGCAACCCTATGGGGCAGGTACGACGAGCATTATATTCCCTGCTTACAGGTGAGAAAACAGGCTCAGGTGAGGCAGCCAGGTGCCACGATGGACGACGGAGTCAGGAAGATCTGGTTTTGAATGTGGCCTCAGATGCTTGTTAGCTGTGTAACTCTGGGCAAGTCATTCAGCCTTTTTCCTGAGGCCTCAGTTTTCTCTTCTGTAAAATGGGAATGATAATAACACCTACCTCTCAGGATTCTTGTAAGAATCAAGTTAGATAATCTATATAAAATGCTTTACAAAACTTAGAGTTATATAAATGCAAGATACCATTAGTGTAATTATTATTTTTTATTAATGTTAAGAGAATGGTGACTTTGCCTGTAGTCACAAAACTAGTAAATGTCATAGGTAGGTTTCAAACCCAGGCTTTGTGAACTACACCCTCTCCAGGACACCAAGCTGCTTCCCTTGTATAAAGTGTATCAGGCCATTTTCTTTAAATATGTCAAAATCTGATTTTTATGTAATTAAATTTTAAAATTCTATTCATATTTTGGCATAATTGATCTTTTCACTAGGACTTAGAGATCATATAGAGGCTGTGCTCTCCTGGATTAGGTGGGAAATTCCTTAGGCTTTGAACCTGCATATTGAACACTGTCTCCAGTGCTCTATCATTCAAATAAGATAACATGTGTTATCTTTAAGGACTGGAACAGCCCCTGTTATGTGTTTCTGTAATGCTGGGTCTTTTATTTAACATGCAAAAGTACTATTTCTGGTCATGGTCTAACATGTTATTTTCATGCATTTTTTGTATAGTCTGGAAGAAGTGGCAAGACCGTTCCTGAACTAGAAAAAACTATTGGTTTAATGAAAAAAGTTGTGGAGAAAGTCCAAAAAGAAAATGAATATTTGAAACGAGCATCAGGAATAATGACAAGTGAGAAAATGTCTACTCTTGAGCTTGAAAATAAAAATCTGAAGGTAATGGTTTTATTCTTAATAGTGATTTCTTCTGCTGTGGGAAACCTTAAAAATATATTAGAAAAGTTGTAATTATAGTGCGTTACTTTATCCTGAATAAGACATATTGGTTTTTTTAAAAATTCATCAGTCATTTATATGAATACTATGAGACTCTATTGTATAAAATCCTAGTTAAGTGTGTGTTTGGAGTAAGAATGATAACTAACACGGGTGAGTATAAAATTGGGTAGGCCGGAGCAGGCACATGGTACTGGGTAGGTAGATCCATAGAGATTTCATACTTGTTCTAGCTTGATAGAGCAGGGCTCCAAGATTTTACTCTGAATCAGTGGTCTCTAAAATGTACTCTATTGAGCTTAGAATCAGTAGTCTCTAAAATACACTTTATTGAGCTTATAAAAGTTTTATTCATGTTCATTTATTTCTTTTTTTGTGTGTGTGCACTTTTAAAATATCTAGACTGAATTAGAAAAACTGAAGCTTCATCTTGGACGTCAACTGAGCATGCAATACGAATTTAATACTAAAGGCCCAGAGAATATCATGGTTGAAAATGACGATCTTCGCAAAGAACTTAAGAAAGTATATATAATTTTATTAATTACAACTATTTCAACTGGCTTTTTACGTCAATTAGAGATCTTTTAATTCTTAAACAAAGACAAATGTAGATTCAGTGAGACACCCTGTTAAAAATAGGAAAGTCAGTTTTCACAGTCCACATCCAAGAGCACTATACAATGGAAGGTTTTTTGTTTTTTTCTTTTAACTTGTTTTCTATTCCTCTTAACTCAACAGTTCTTAACCATTTTTGGCATCATGGCCCCCTTTGGCAGTCTGGTAAAGCCTATGAACATCTTCTCAGAAGAATGTTTTTAAATGCATAAAATAAAAAAAAAAGATTACAAGGGAAACTTTTTATATTGAAATAGAAATTTCAAATTTTTTTTTAAGTGGCTAGACCCAGGTTCAGAATCTTAACATATGACTGGAGACAATGGTGATGCATCTGGTACTTGTTCTCTTCTTGTGTTTCTACGTTGCCTGTACTACTTCCTCCTAGTCCTATTCTTCATAAACTTCAGTTATCTAAGCCTTCAAGCAAATGATGTCTAAGATGAGTTCGGACCGCAGCAGAATCCTGCGCTTCCCTTTCCGTCAGAGTAGGTTGTAATAGTGAGGGACTTAGATGAATCCACATTGTCATGGACTATGGTTAGACTATGAGACAGGTTTTTTTTTTATTCCTTTCCTCATTGTAGAAATGATTTTGTGATATGAGTCCAGCGGCTAAAAGTCCACCAGGATTTTCCTGAAAGATTCGCAGTGCTAGTCAGTGCTACTCGGTGAGATGTTGACGATATAATATGATGCAAGCATTTATTAAGCAGCTGTCATGTTCAGAGTCCTTTGAAATGTTGACTGTGTAGTATAATATGATACAGCAATCATTTATTAGGCACCTGCTATGTTTGGAGTCCTTTGTTGGGTGCAGGAGAGATACAAGCTGTAAATAAATCATTATCCCTGCCCTCAAAAAGCTTACTGTCTGGGAGGGGGGCGGAACACACAGGTATCCACAGGATACACAATATCACATGATAAATTGAGTCGAGAATTACTTTTGCAATGTCTTGTAAGAGCAAAGACGTTCAAAGGGAGATGGTCATTAACACCCCGAAGGACTGAAGGATGACATTCAGATTGGATTTTATAGGATCAATATAGGTTGAATGTATTCAGCATTTTAAAAGAAGGATAGATGACATTCCAGGCATAGGGAGCGCTGGAGTGGGGCAGAGCATCCCAGGCAAGGGGAACCAGTCCCTCCCCACTCTTCTGCCTTTTTGAATTCCTAGTTTCCTGCAAAGTTTAACTCAGATACTCTCCAGCTTAAAGTCTTCCTTGATCTAAGTACTTAGTGCCTCTCTCCCAAAATCACCTTATGTTGATTTTGTGTATATTTTGTATACACTTATTTTTGCATGCTCATAGGTATTCATATTGTCTTCCTTTGCAGAAGGTAAGCTCTGTAGAGTAGGGATTATTTCCTCATTTTTCCTTGTATTCGCTGCACTTAGCCCAGTATCTTGTACGTAACACTCCCTTAATAAATTTCTACTGATTAGTTAGGAATCTTGAGATCACAATTTCCGAATTAAAGACCATTTAATAACTCCTTTATTTCATAGTTGAGGAAACTGAGTCTCAGGGGGCAACATGACTTTGCCCAGGGTCATACAGCTAGTGACCGAATTGGGATTGGCTCTCAAACCTGGTGCTTTTCCACTCTACCATACTTGTCTCTTCAGGTAGTCCCTGGAGTCAAGAGGGTTGAACTTGGCTGTGAGTTATTTGGAGTAACCTTATAAAGAGATATGGTACACTTACAAGCCTATGCTATATTTCATTAGTCTCTACTGTCTGAGATACTAGTAATACAATTAATGAAGTCAGCAACCAGTTTTTTTATTCACTTGCCATGAATTGTTCCTTGCACCAGACAAACAGATGTAACTATCTCTAAGAATGACCCAAAGCAGATGGGTTTTTTTTTGGATGTTCCAATGGATGTGTTCCACATATCCATGTATGAATAGCTGTTCTAAGAGAAAATCTCAGTGCTAGTGATATTTTTTCTGCTAAAGCATTAAATACAAAATTATGAAAGTATCAAAAACACTTATTACTCATCACGATTTTTTGTTAGGAAGATGGTTTTATTTTCCTCCATTTTGTACCTGAGTGTCTCCAATCAGCCTTCTTTACTTCAGAGGTCTTCTAAATACCTTCAGCCCTGAACTAACATTTCTGGGGACTCTGTATATTTTAAGCCCCTAAGTGTGCGTGTGAAATAGCATCGTTTCCCATTTTGCCCTAGAAAATAGGTTTAATTTTAATTTTAATTTTTTTAGCGAGGCAATTGAGGTTCAGTGACCTGCCCAGGGTCACACAGCTAGTGAGTATCATGTATCTGAGGCCAGATTTGGACTTAGGTCCTCCTGACTCCATCCACTGTGCCACCTACCTGCCCCTGTTTAATTTATTTTTTAATACCACAGGGAAAAATATAAAGTATTAGGAATCCCATACTAAAGAAGCAGTTCTGTGGGGATAGTCAAATAGTCCTATATTTTGAATGTTAAGTAGCTGAAGATTCAGTGTTCAGTGAACATGGCTTATGGTCATGGCTGTGTGTCACAAGTGTAGGACTGTAGAAGTTCAGCTCTTTCTTAAAGGTGTGTAGTCCATTACTATATAACTGTATGTGTGCTCTCACATACACGTATGTGTGTGCACACCTGTACACGCATACTCACATCTGGATCAAAGCAAAATTTTTTTCAACTGAAAAAGACAACTTTTATTCTTCTAAATAGCAACCTTGTGGTCATTCTTATAAAATTTGTTACTCTTAATGTCCTGATTATTCACTTCTCTGATAGAAGGTGGAAACTGCTGAGATACTTCGAATGGAAAAAAATGACTTGGAGTTAGCAGTTGAGAAGCTGAGAGCTCAGCTGGAAGAGATGAGTAGCAGATTGTATCTGATTGAAAGCAGAGACCCCCAGCTGGAAGTGGCCAAAAGCAGGGGTTTGAAATCAGTCATTGATGCGAGGTAAGAGAAGGTTTTAAAGAGACAAAAGTCAATCTCTATCTTGCTTCCATCATTATTCTTAAAGACTGCCAATCTGCTCAGTCAAGTGGCTACAATAATGGCTCGGTTTTGATCTTCTGAACAACAGGTGCTTGATATCACTGTTGGATCGATTCTCATTGTTTGCGTCTGGTGTGCCAATGAGACTAGTCAGATTTCTTCCAAAAAATTTAACTACAGGATTCACTTAAAACATAAAATAGAAATTGGAGGTCCTTTCTCAGTTATCATCAGTTAAGGTGTAATAGTGTCTTAACTCAAATAACTTTACAGAATTGAAATTTAATTACTTCATCCTACCATGGTTACTGTCATGAAATTCAAATTTTCAAAAGAACCCACATGATCCTCACTGCTATTTCTGTTTGTTTTCTCTGATGTTTCTTCATTCATTCAACAAACATTTAGCAGCTGCTACATATGGAGTATTCTACTAGGCCTTGTGGGAGTTGGAAAATGATTAAGCTATAATCCTGTCAGTGATTGGAGTTTTTAATATAGTAGAGTAGGATGTGATAAAGGCAAAAGAGGCATAATTAAAGGGTTTGAGCGCTTCAGTGGAGAAAGGGATCCCTTTTTGATAAAGGAGCCATGGAAAAGGTATATTAAACCTTGAAGGATGAGTGGTATTTGATGAGAAAAGGATTTCAAACTGACGGGGCATCATGAGGAAAACTGTGGAGATGGGGAAGTGTGGGACATATTTGGAGAATAGTAATTCTGGACATTATCTCTCACACCCCCAGAATTCTTTCAGCTCAAATGGCATTCACCTCCATTCAAGCTCTGCTCAACTTTTGCTTCATTGGGACTCTTAGTTTTTTAGCTCCTCCTCTCCGCACAGGTGCCAGGAGACCCTCCCTGCATCACGCAAACGACCCTGGTCACCTCTCTCTCTTATCAGGAACTTATGTCACTGTCTCCCTGTTGACTCCAGACCAGCCAGAAACACCTTAGCTGGGCTTGAAAGCCTTTTGCAGTCACCAGGCCTTCTTTTCCAGGCTTGTTGCCAATTTCCTTCATATGCTGTCTGTTCCTGCCCACCTGGCCTACATCTTCTGAGTGTGTGCCTTTATGGCACATCCTCTATTGCAGAGGTCAAGAGCTCACAGGGTTGATGCCTTTTTTTAATATCTTCTTTAACCTTTTACACCAGAGAGGCAGATAAATTATTCCTTATTTTTTCCTTCTTGCTTTCAGAACAAATGAAGTCAAAATGAGCAAGGTACAAAATGAGAGTGAGCAAAAAATTCAGAGGGTCAGTGATCTTAAGCAGCTCCTAAGGGAGGCAGCAGCAGCAGACAGAGAGCCAGAGAGAGAGATGGTAATGGAGAGGGAGAAAGAGAGAGAGACAGAGAAAGAGAGACAGAGAGAGATCAGAAGGGACATTCTCACTGTTAGAAAAAGAGACTTTCTCTTACCATCCTACCATTTGTTGTATCCACTCTCCTCATTGTACTGTTCATTCACATAGCCCCAGCATCTGGAATATTTATTTTTTATTTATTTATTTTTGGTGAGGCAATAGGGGTTAAGTGACTTGCCCAGAGTCACACAGCTAGTAAGTGTCAAATATCTGAGGTCAAATTTGAACTCGGGTCCTCCTGACTCCAAGGCTAGAGTTCTATCCACTGAGCTGCCCCCTGTAATATTTACTTTGGGAAGTTTATACTTTAATGTTATGCCTCCTTGTAACAAATACTTTTTAAAAGTATAAAGGTCTCTGTATTACTTTCTAACTTTTCTTTTCTTAGCTATACCCTAAGACTGAGATTCTTAAAAACTTTGCTGAAGGTATCTTCCCAGAGCAGAGCCTTAAGGGAGAATTGCAACATATTAGGTAAAACTCTGCGCTCATATCCACAACATTTATATGTTAAGAAAAGAAAAAAAAAGGAACACCCATGTCTCTGTTGCTTAGGTGTAATGCCACAGCTTTGAGTCCTGCCATCAGAGAGCAGAGGCAGCAAGATGGAGTGTGAGGGTTAGTCTGGGAGACTGACCTCCGAGTGGGACTGCCATCCCAGGGAATCAGGTGTTTAGATGGTACTGGGATTTCATGCACACTTCTACACCTGCTCATGTTGTGTGGGCCCTCACCAATTGCCCGAGGCCTTTCTGTGGTTCCTTAAATGTCTTCAGCAAACTGCCAAAAGCTGCCCATCTGGCGTCCATCATTCTTTATAAATGGCCATTTCCTTCTCCATTGATGCCTCTTATTTCACTATTTGTACATAAATTGTCACCTGCTTTTAGCCACCATACATTTCTGTTTCCCTTGGGGTCACCTGCAAATTTGATTGTTTCAAGTAAGAAAAATGAGAGTAGGGTGGGGGGACCTTCCAGGTGTCTAGTGGGTTTCTGCATCCTGAGTTAGCCACAAAATCTGAAGAAGTTACATTCAGTGTCAGTATTTATGAGTTGTATGTATGAAGGTTGGTTGGTTGAATGTATGTAGGTAGGTAGGTAGGTAGGTAGGTTGCAGAGTTGGAACAGTGCGTGTGCCAGTTGAAGAAGCTTCTGTTGCTTAGGATTGAATATCACCACTAGTTCCTGCAAGGCCACTGGCCACAGTCTGTAGTCCTGAATTTCCAACCTTTTGTACTGCTCCTAACTACTTTGTTTAGCTGCCAAAGATCATCTTTTTTTTTTTTTACCTATTTGCAACCCAGTTTCTGACTTCCACCAATTTTGGCCCCATGACTTACTCCATAGATAACAGACCCTAAGTCTTTTCGCTGCATTTGTGCAGCGAAGTGGTGTAGTGGATAAAGTGCTAGGCCTGGTGTAAGGAAGACTCATATTCCTGAGTTCAAATCTGACCTCAGATACTTAACCACCTGTGTGACCCTGGGCAAGTCACTTCACCCTGATTGCCTCAGTTTGCTCATCTGTAAAATGACCTAGAGAAGGAAATGGCCAGACCACTCTAATATCTTTGCCAAGAAAATCCCAAATGGGGGCCTGAAGAGTTAGACGTGACTAAAAACAGCTGAACAACAACAGTGATCTTTTGCTGCTAGATTTGTTCCCTGTGGGTAGTCCCGCATACTCTGTGCTCCTGCTTATATTTAAGTTACTGTGTTAGAATAGTCTCAGGAATTCAGTGCCCTAAGAATTACTGCTGTATGATTGAGAACTCACATGTGTGTTTTTCTACTACTGTTTTTACCATATTATCAATAACTCTTGTGTTCCAGGTCAGTGGATCGCGTGGAGAAGAAAAAGACCGAATTAACTCATCAAGCAGGAACTAGTCGAGAGCAAATTGGAGGTGAAAACATTGTTTCTGGCAATGCGTGTGTGCTAAATGTGTCGTTGCTCAGTGTTAAAAGACTTGTTTTGGTTTGCTTTTATAAGGGTTCTCTGAAGTTGCGTTTCATTGGTTTGTCTCTCCAGAACCACAGGCCGGTCATGGGGTTTATCCACAAAGCCTCCTTGTTAACTGTGAGATCAAGTTGCCTCATTTGTGTTAGGCCCTTTACATCATTTTGGGTGTCGTGTGTCCATTGGTGTATGGGTATGTAAGATTGGGGATGTCATGCTGACTCCTTTCTAGTGTTGTGACTCCTATGAACATCTGCTCTTCTTCTTTCTTCATTGTAGCTATTCTGTGTTGTATTCATGAGGTCGTTTGCTCCCTCCTCTGGCCTTTAAAGTTTGATTCCTTTTGCATGATAGGGAGAAGATGTATTCTTATAAGCCTTTGTTAGGTCCATCATATCCCTGCCTGTAACCTCTCATTCCTCTATTTTAAGACATATTACAGGAATTTTGAACTGTGGCACACTCGCGTGTTTCATCTCACCAGGTCTTTGGTACTGGTGAGATTAAATTTGCCTTCTTAGGCTAGGGTTCTCTAGTTCATTTTGTTTACTACCTTGTACTTGTGGTGTTTTGGAAAAGACATGAGTTAGTACTCCTGTAGTTTTAGATACCAGTACTGAAGTGTGACATTTCATTAAAAATTCATGTCAAATTATGTTAAGGACCTTTTGAGTTGGACAACTGGCCATATGTTGAGGGACATTCTGTGGAATAATCTGCTTTTACCTATTACAATTGCCACATCTCTCTAGTTTCTGTTTTTTTACCCTTCCCCCCCAGTCCCACATGGGACAAAATACATTTTCTCTTCCGTTTTCTAATAAGTACGGAATTCTTAACCTGCATTTTCAATAAAGAATAAAACCTATTGACAGCCTAAGAGGCTAATTCATAAATACATAAATACCATGAAAACTTTAATTCATTTACTACCTAATTGCCTCTGGTTTTCTCTAGCATTTCCCCCCTTTTATTCTTAAATTTTTTTTCTTTGAATGCCTTTTTTTTGTTACATTAGTCATTTCTGAACTGATCCCTCTCCTGTGCCCAGAAAACCATCCCTTGTGACAGATATTTTAAAAGTGAAAAAAAGCAGTTCACCAGAACCCACGCGTTGGTCCTGTGTAGCAAAGGAGGTAGTATTCCATACGCAGAACCTCCACCTCTTCAGTGAAGGAAGCTTCCCTCTCTCAGTTCTCCTGGGCCAGCTTGAGTCTTCATAAGCAGTCAGCCAGCCCAGCCCTTGCCCTGTGCTGACTTGATCCTGTTCTTCCGCACTCGGGTTGATTCTCCATTCACCTGTGCACTGAACGAGGATTTGCAGTTCTCCTCACTGTAGCCCTCTCACAGCAGGCACTGACTCTTACAAGGGATCCTAGGAGTTAGTTCATGAGTTGTTACTTCAGGTCTTCCTCTCCCTTTCCCGCTCCTCAGATTTCCCTCAACTCTTTTCTCCCAGATCCTTTTTTTTTTTTTTACTCATTCTTTGTCCTTTTACCCCTCAAAATTCATTTTTAACAGCCGCTAAATATGAAAAAAAAATGTGTTTCAAATAGTCTTTCTCGACAATTGTATTTGCGTTTAATGTTGTTTGGAGTGTGATATTTTGCTCACCTCTGATTTCTTTTTATAGCCATCCCTCAAATAGTTCTCCTTGTTGACGGTCCACCTTTTTTCATTGCCATTAGGCTCAGTCTTTTAAGATTACTTTGGGTTACACTTGAGCTTCAAGACATTATTACATTTTCTTTTATTATAATTGAGGAATAATCCCAATTCTAATAGGCATTCCTTTGTGTTTAAAACAAGCATTCTCTTATTTATAAAATGTTATTGTAATTGTGAAATTTAACTTTTAAATTTTAAGCATGGGGTTTTTTCCATAGAGGTAATCTATGGATGCGTTATGTTGTCTGTATTCAAAAGTTTGGGGTGGTTTTCATATCTCTGTATGTGCTGTCTTTAAAGTCAGTTACTTTGGCTTCTATAGATGTGTGTTCTTTTAAAATTGTTGCCTTTATTTCTTTTCTGCCAGATTTTATTATTTTTCTGTATCTTTGTGGTATTCTCTTTTTCAGAACTTCTACTGCTTTGCAGAAATGAAGCAACCCATTATTTTTTTTAAATTCAGCATCAAAAGCATCCAGTTCTTGACCTATTATTAATTCCCAACTTATTTTCAGAGTTTTATATCACTTCTAAACAATTCCAGAATTTCTTGTTGCCATTTCTTAATTTTCTGGGGAGTCTTCTGAATGTTTTTTTTATTAGGGATTTTTAGTTCATTTTTTTTTTTCATATTTTGACACATACTCATAGTAGTTTGGCCTTTTAGTTTTCCTTTCATTTCTTTATTCTTCCTTCTGTCTTTACGAGCCTGTGGGTGTGTATCTATTTGTGAGCTCGGTTTTAAATAAGGCGCTTTTTCCCTGGGCCTTTTGGTCTTAATAGCCTTTACTTTGTATTCCCATTCACTTACCTCTGGTACCCCTCCTTCCTTCTCTTCTAGCTATTAGGGATGGGGGGAAGGGAGATTATGCCCCAGACTGGACCCTGACCTGAACGGGATTCTTAACTGAATCACTTCTGTGAGGTTATTTCCTTACATTGTTCCCTAGAACAATGAAATTACAAGATGCTATTACAAAACTCAAAATTGCTACTATGTTCTTCATCTGTTAAGAATGTCTCCTCTGTGCCCAGGAATACCAACTCTATACACAAAATTCTTAGAGTTTGGCTTCCCATATTTATCTGTATCTAATGAGCTAACATATAATAGTCACACTTTTAATACCTATATAGGATAATATGTTCAGAAAGTTAAGTTCAAGGCTTCAGATGTTTAAAAAAAAAAGTTTCCCATTGTATCATATGTTGAGTTTAAGTAGAATGAGAAATAATAGTTAAATCATGTAAACTGGCATCCCCGCATTATATTTTTTTGCACCTAACATTGTAACTTATTTGAACAGATTTTGAAAAAATAAAACCTCCACAGACATCTCCAACTTCAGATCCAGAAAAGCAGCAGTTGAAGGTAACTGTTTAGTAAAAAATTATTCCATAAATTTAGTTTTTATGGACTTGTAAATGCTTATCATGTAGAAAGTCTCAGGATTACATTTGATGCTCATAACATTCATGTTAGGCACAGTCTTTCATAATCCTCATTTTGATAGTGAACAAGATTTATAAAAATGAGATTTGAAGAAAACTGGAAAGCTAGAGAAATATTTTCATGCAGTCATAAAAAAGTTTATTTTAATACTCCCTTACATTAATCATTCTTCTACAAATGACCCAAAACTAAATTCCTCATGATTGACATTATTTAATTTTACTTTCCTTTATGCTACCTGAGTATATGTTTTGCATGTATGAGGTGTTTAATAACCAGATCAAAAGAGCGTTCAAAAAGAGTGCCTAAAGAAATATTTAATCTGAGGGCAAAGAAAACATTTAAAGTTAATTCTTTATTCCTTCTTCTAGTTGCCTAATCTGATCAGAAGGTTCTAATCAAATGCTAAAATGTAAAGCACTTTATAAATGCTATTATTATTCTAAAATATGGATAAGCTAATGTCCATTAAATTAAAATTAAGTTGGAGGAAGAATAACCACAAATTTAAAATAAATTCTTTAAGTTTCAAACATTAGGGTAACATCACTTGAATGTAGTAATGAGCATCCCCACATTTTTCATTTCAAATTGTCTTAATTATAATGTCTAAAAGGATACTATATAAATCTTAAATGTCAGTAAGATTTGGAACATAATTTATATAGCAGAGACTCATAGCTTTCATGGATAAAGATCATTATTACCTGGGAGAAACTTGCATTTGGGAAAAGCTTATGCAAAAAAATGTATATCTTCACAACTGTCTGCTTGTCTAGTTAGAAATTTATAAATTATGCCGTTTTGTTCTAGTTTTCATATTTAGTCTACTTAGTTCAAATCTAAAGATTTCATATATTTTATGCCTCTACATTTTAATGTAACTTGTTTCTATCAGGCAGAAAACAAAAAGCTTAAAAAAGAACTGGAAAACTTGGATCCCTCATTTTTCGAAGAAATTGAAGACCTGAAGTACAATTACAAAGAAGAAGTTAAAAAAAATATTATTTTGGAAGAGAAGTTGAAACAACTTTGTGAACAGTTCCATATTGAACTAGAGAGTGCTGCTAGTGTTCCTAGACAGTTGGAAGCTGAAACAGATGGCATTAATAACTCACCAGTCTGCTGAGGGCTATCTCCAACCCCAACTTTAATCAACTGTTTTCTATTTTAATAGAAGTTGTAAATAGTAATCACTTTCTGAACTAAAGAGTTTACTTATTTTCTTGTATAATTCCAAGCAATGGCATTATTTAGTGAATAAAGTTTATATTTATAATTATATTTAACTTATTAGGAAAACAATATTTTTTTATTTAACGGAGATGTGGACTTCTGGGGTTAGAAGTTGTCAGTTCCTTATTTTTTTTATGATGAGTTTCCAAAACCATCATAATGTTCTTGAAATTATAATACATTAAATTTTGAACTGAGCCCTATAAGGGAGGTTTATAAGCAAGTTATGAGAGGCAAACAATTAAAAGTTTTTGTTTTTTTTTTTAATAAATACTGTGGTGCTGCTTAAATGAGATTGGTTAGCTTTTCTATTTGATTCCCAAGTGATGTGTTACTACAGAAAAGGTCATGAAGTAAGATATCCAACAACATTTATGGCCTAACTTTGCAAATAAATGATACAAACATCGTTGGTCTAATGTAGTCATTGTTTAAAAAAGGAAAAAAAAATACAAAACTGTTGTCCTTATAAACCCTTCCTATACATATGCACTAATTAAGTCTTATAATTTCTATTGTGTCACAAGCCTCAGGATTTATACGTTTAAGACTGAAAGTTAAAAAAAAAATTGTCCCTAATTAACTTTGAAATGTGTGTAGTTGAAAGAACTGGTCATATTTCATTTGAACACTAGTGGGCAGGTAATTCAGTAAATGTGCTCTTGAGATATTTCACTATTCAGCCAGGACAAAGACTCAATGTTCAAAAGTAATAAAGATAATATAGCTGATTTTCAATTGCATTTTCACTTCAAATTCAGACATCCAGTTTTATATCTTTGAGTCTGCCAAATTTCTGATTATCGAGCTTTGAAAAATGATTAAACAAACACTTGGAATCAAAAGCACAGTCAAATTTGGTCCTGTTCATATTGATAACAACTGGTCGTGAATTCATGTAAGTATCTGGAATGGGCCACCGCAAACCAAGATGATGACGATGAACCTATTAAGGAAAAAAAAGGATATTAGCATTTGCCTATAAATACTAAATTTAGAAAAAGAGAAAAGTAACTTAGACTAGTTCTACAGGAGAAATGAATTTGCCCAGGGGGAATTAAGACTTGTCATGACCTTCCATGTCATATGTTGATTAGAAAATATCTCTGAATACCAAATAAACTTTTAGAAGTCAGGCAGAACTGTTATTCATTCCCACTATAAAGGAGGTAAACAGAACTTTTAAAATCTGGAACTGGTTCAAGATCAGACTTCAACCAATCCTTCAGTTATCAGATGCTGAATTAAATCAGTCCCACCAAAAAAAAAAATTAAAAAAAAAAACAACAAAAAAACTTTGGTTAAGTTCAGTAGTGGAACAAATTTCTTTTTATTCACACTGGAAGTGGTGTGTTTTACATTCTTTGGGTAAAGAAAAGGAAAAAATAAACAATACCCTGGGTTATTTCCATTTCCTATTGTGAGGAAGTTTGGACCACAAGCTATTTTTAAATATTTATTTACCTTGATTAAACAGCCATCATTGCAGTGCCAAACTATTCCTTCAATTTTTCCTTCTCTGCAGCCCTCAAACCAAGACAAAAGGTCATTATGCTTCAGTGTAGGTTGGTTTTTTATCTGAAATGCTCCATGTGGTACAAGAAGATGTACTGGATGCTTTTTGCTTCCTAATCCTGAAAGACAAAAATTCACCTATGGTGTTAGTTGTATCCATTAATATACAGATAAGACAGCAATTCACCATATCTACACAAACTCTTTTTAAGACATTTAGGAAGAAAAAGGGTTAATTTATATAGTAGAAGTGATTTCTCAAAGAACTATATGATAGAATTTCATTCTGTCACTCCAGTTCTGAAGTATCTGAAGGGTTATCATGTAGAAAGAGGATTGTATTTGACTGGTCCCAAAGGGCAAAATAAGGACCAATGAGAAGTTGCAGGGAGATAGATTATGGATCAACTCAATAAAAAAATCTTCCCTAAAATTAGAACTGTCCAAGAAATTGAATGGGTTGGGTTACACCATAAAACACGGATGGGGAACCTGTGGCCTCAAGGCCACATGTGGCCTTTTGACTGAATCCAAGCTTTACAGAACAAATCCTTTTACCTAGGGGATTTGTTCTGTGAAGTTAGGATTCAGTCAAAGGGCTGCACCTGAGGACCTAGAGGGCCATATATAGCCTTGAGGCTGCAGGTTCCCCACCCCTGCCCTAAAGTAATGAATTGCCCATCAGTTGATGTTCAGGCAACTACAGAATGTCCTAGAGAGCATTCATGTTTAGATGACTTCTCCAATCTCTTCCAACTTAAAGATTCTATTGATTCTCACCATCTCCAAATTCATCCCCTACTAAATTATATTATTTATAATTACTCTGTGCCATGGAACACGGTCAGTAGTTTTAAAGGTAATATGTGTATATTCTTTAATGTTCCCATTCAGAAGATACCATAAACATTTCAACTCTTAATTTCTCCAACAGATTGTTTAGTTCCATATTTCCTTTCTTTGTTACAGTTGTCCATTTCTGTAAAAGGAAGGTTAAAAATCCATAACTGTTATTACCAATTTTTTGTAACTCATTTAACTTTTCCTTTATGAATTTATTTGCCATGCCATTCAGTGTATACTTATTATATGTATATTAAATGGCACTTATGTGCATATATATATATATATCATACATACACAAACACATAAATCTATCTACATAGATATATATAGATAAAGTGTTGATAACCCTATGGTTCCTTTAAATATAGTGCAGGTTTCCTAGCTCTCTGTTTGAATAGTGTGAATGTCTATTTTGCCTCTATAATATGTCTGCAACTCTGCTTCAAGACTCAGCTCAGACCCTACCTTCTGCAGGCGGCCTTTCATGGCCTGCACCTAGTGTTAGTGCCTTCCCTCAGAGACCACCTCCAGTTTGTCATGAATATATATACCATGTTGGCATGCTGTATCCCCATTAGAATGTGAGCTCCTTGAAGGTAGGGGCTGTTTTTGTCTTTCTTCGTACCCCCTCTACCTGGTACACAGCAAGTATGTAATGAATGCTTACTGAGTCTGACTTCCCAGAGGAGATAAATGCACTGCCACCTCTTATTTGCAGAGGCAGGGGAGTACGAGTACAGAACCCTCATATTCCATCTGACTCAGGTGATGTTTTGGTCATTTTTGAGGAACTTTTTTTCCCCTCTTTTTGATATTTTACTACATAGGTTGTTTCTCTGAGATGGTGGGGGGGGGAGGGGAGAAGGTGGAGGAATATATTTGGAAATTAAGGTAATATAAAAACAAAAGATATCAGTAAAACATAAAAAAGAAATATCCTTCATGAAGGAAAATCAGAGGAAGTATTGCTGTATATTGGAATTTACTCTGTGCCTCAAGGCATTGATTAGTTTTAATCATGAGCAGCCCTAGCCCAGTGGAACCTGAGTTAAGTGTACTGTAAATGCTACTCAGCCCAAACCGCAGTCACAAGTATTATCTACCAAAGTCAGCATCTATAACCCTTTGTTGTGCTGGACGAGTATATCTCCACATTCCCACTTGTTGCTAACAAAATAAATATGTAAAAGTCTTTACAAACCATAAGGATTTCCATTAATGTTTGTGCCTATAAGCTCCAGTGTGTGTTCCAAGAGATCTGACAGTGGCACTGCACTGACTTCCAAAAGTCCAGGGTCATCAGCATGGCGATTCAATACTAGAGCAAGTTCAAATTCATAATTGACCACAGAAGAATGCCAGCAATACTGTTTGTTATTTTTTTCCACTGGAACCCAACCTATAAGTATTGTAGGGGAAAAAAAAAAGAAGTTTCACTAATTTTATCAATTCATCAAATTTATTTTGTTTGGTTTAGGAATTCCTACATGGCAAAACTCAATCTGATTCACACAAGAGAAAGGGAGCCTATGAGCTTCCTTGATTCTGTTTCCTTAAGGTCCTAGCATAGAGAACAATCCTCTAAATACAGGGCACTTAGAGAATCACGAAAATTTAGCCCTGGGGAAAACCTGAAGAAATTATCTAAGTACTGCTGTTACTCTTAACATTTGATCTTTGTCCAAGAAGGAAGTTAACTACATAAGGCTTCTAAAAGTACTGAGTGGATCCTTTCCGGAGGATTTTCAGAAGACATGAGTAAGAAGCTATATAGGGGTTGTAATTTCTGTTCAGTGGAAGGAGTATTCTCACCCATGAAATCATGGATCCACCAAAATAATTCCACTGGACACTTGGAGAGATACTTTTGATTTCATCCCCTTCTGTAAACAGTGGGCTTTTCTATAAAACCATGAATTAAAATCTGATTTGTTAGTTTTATGCAATATTACACTTCAAGGGATCTCTGATTTATTCAATATAAGAGTTCCTCCCTCTCATGGTACAGTTGACAACCCACCCACACCTCCTTCTCTTATACTACCCTATTCTAACTCAACCCATAAATCTGCATTAGAGGCTGCCCAATGTGCTGTGGGGGGAGGGGAGAGACTTTCTTCTAGGTCTTTTAACATTATTGTGGGCACCAGTGCAAAGTAGGGGATGTGATCCCTTGCTTTCCCTATATGGTTGGCCTCATTTTCCAGTATCTTTTTTTTTTTTGGTGAGGCAATCAGGGTTAAGTGACTTGCCCAGGGTCACACAGCTAGTAAGTTTTAAGCATCTGAGGCCGGATTTGAACTCAGGTGCTCCTGACTCCAAGGCCAGAGCTCTATCTACTGTGCCACCTAGCTGCCCCAGTCCTGTATCTTCTTGGAGATATTTTTTAGACCACTTCTTGCATTTAAGTCATTGTTTGTAATATACTAAAGTCTGTTAATACCCATGCCTTTTCCTTTCACAATTTTGAACCTTGAGGGATTGTGACATTCCCTGATCCGTAGTCATATGCCATATCAGTCTTAAAAAGGGGATTTTGTTTCAATGAAAAGGTTGGGGTTGTAGAGAATAACCTGCAGTTTCCCACTTGTAATCCAATCCACTCTCTAGCTCCCTATTCATCAATGGTTTCTATACAAAAGACATGTACTGATAGGTTTGCCACAGAACTGCATGCCCTAGTCCGGATCATTTGTTTTTTCTGAACACACTGTTGGCTGAACTCTTACATGACTGTGGCTCTGAGCACTTAGAAGGTCTTGTAAAGGTTCTCAGGCTTAATTGCCATGCACCAAAAGAAGCATCTGAACCTCATAATAAGGAATGTTACTTCCATTTAGAATACACACGGGAAATCCCCTGACAGTGGTAAATACCTTTGGTGAGTATACATTATTTTTTATAGCTCACTTAATAATCAGAGGACTGTCACATTTATCACTGTTGGTGATCAGCCATGCTACATTTTGTTCCACTAAATCAAATCCTTTTTTATAGTCAACAAACAAGATAAGTAAAGAACACTCATATATGACATATATGGCATATAAAGGATCTTTTCCTATCCTTTCTGACTGAACTTAAAAAAAATCTATTGGTAAACACAAAAAATATATTAGAAAAGAGACAGCCTTTTATACCAGGTATATGCCCATTTTCATCAGGCACTGGATTTCCATTTAACTGTTCTATATCCTTTGCTGGAATCCAACACTCTGGAACAGATTTGAAGTCCTCTTCAACATTCCAAATAAACTCTTAAAAGAAATAAATTAAAATTATTTATGGTAAACACTTTTTTAAAAGTATAAAGCATAATGCAAATACAAATTATTCTCAATACTATTATTAATAATAATAATAATCTGGTATCAACACAATGGTTATGCTTCTTTAGCTTTTTGGTACTAATCTGGAGCTGATAAATTTAGATTATGCTGTTGTTCAGGGGCAGTAGTTGATAATTCATCGAAATTGAGCCCTCAGTCCAACTGGATATCTGGATAGTACAGTGATTTTTTTCCCACATCATTTGCAAAGAAATTTAACACAAGAAACCTTTACAAGCACTAGGCATGAATATTTGTTGTTTCAATCTTTTCTCATGTGATTTATTACTAATTTATAAAATCAAAATTCTGGATTTATGTAAAATAGAAAGCAAAATTCAATACTCTGGTTATAAATATGTAAATGAATAGTTTGCACTTTTAAATAAAATAGTTAATTATATCTTCTATTATAAAAATATATCTAATCATAGAAATATCATAAGAGTAAATAATAATCTGTTTTATAAGTTTAAAAAATGTGTTTCTCCATGAACAAAAACAGATCACAGAAGGCTAGGGATAGGGACAGGACCTGTGAATTTACTAGCATAAGGCACTCCAAGGGCTAGACACTTACTCTACCAATGCAGGTCCTCGAATTCTCTGCAACTTAATAGTCTTAGAGAGCTGCTTAAGGACTTAAGGGGTTAAGTGATTTCTCCAAGGTATTAGAGGCAGAATCATATGGCTTCAAAAAAGAAACACTTTAAAATTCTTTTTCTTCCAAACAACCTTACTTAACTTATACTAAGAAACAAACTTTTTTTTTTTTGAGAATCCCGCAACAAAAGACAGCCATTTGCAGAGGTAAATTGTTTTAAACCACCAAAATAACTATACACACCAACCTTTTGAGTTTTCCTTTGAATACAGGAATCTTTTAAACCTTTTCTCTGCTTGCTTGTTTGGTTTTCTATCTAATCGAGCCCACAGGTATGGCTGACCTAAATGTTTAAGAATCATTCAATAAAAATTTTGTTAGAAAAAACATTTTACATAAAATTTCTTAACAATGAGGTCATTTGAAAGATAATTTAAGTGCAGCAGAAATATTTACTGAAATGTTGAAAAGGATCTAAGGATATGCAGTCTGACAGGCCTACCCAACACTGTAGGAGCTAATATTTATACACTGAAATTGATATCTTTTGTTAAGAAGTAATTTAATGAAGTCAAGATCATGGGATCAACAGATTTGGAACCAGAAAAGACTTCAGAGATCACCTTGTCCAAATAAGAGAAGGACCTTTAGTAAAATAAAAGAAAATGAAGATGATGATGTTGATGATACTAATCAATAATAAGTAAAAGTAAGTAAGTCACAGTTTGAGGCCAAGGCCTATCACTCTAAATCCAGTGCTCTGAAGGATAAGACAGATGGTGGAAGAAATCAAGTGACTTTGTTTAAGGTCACAAAGGTGGTGAATAGTGGAGCCAGAATTTGAACCCAAGCCTTTCTTCTGACTCCCAAATGCTCCCTCTTTCTACTATACCATGCAGTCTCACGTATATTCTACCTATAAAGTCAACAGGTAGTATGGGAAGATAAGACTCGGGATGCAAAAAACAATCAAAAATTCAATCCCAGCAAAACTCTGTTCGGTTGTCACTTAGGTCCAGTTGGACAATTTTGCACCATGGACCAGAAAGAGAACTGACAGGGATCAGCATGAAGCGCACCACCACAAATGAAAATATGACACAGAGCAAACAACTCGATTACTAGTGGATTAGTAATGGTAATCTTCATATAAAAGAAAGAAGCCTTTCTTCACAGAAATGTAAAAACTTAAAATAACTGTTAAAGCCCCAACAGATTTTCTATAATTCCCTCTTAACAGAATGTGCCAGAGCTCTCTTCCAATTATATGTTTTTTAATATTTTTAGCTTCCTCCCTTACATTCAAACTTACATATCTAAATCAATGCCAATATTCATATAACCATTGGAAGCAATCCCAGCAGCCCAAGAAAAGACTACATGATCTAATGAAAAAGCTAAAACAACTATCATTTTTATCATTGTGACATTAAATTATGTGTGGTGAGAGGCAAGAGGCTGTAGCACATTGCCAAAGAATGACTTACACACACCAGAAGTGGAATAAAAATGCCCACTGTACAATGGGAAAGGTATTAGGAGGGACATGAGCAAAGAGAAAAGGAAAGAGATGGACAGTCCGAGGGCTGCAACTGTGCAATTAGGTTAAAAGCTGTAGAGAAATGTCTCAAGGGTATCTGGTGAATACTTTACAGAATGACTGATGGGAAGGATGGGAAGGCTTCAAGGAGGAGCTGGCACCTCCACAACTGGGCACTTGGGAAAAAAATGCCAAAAGACAGTGACTGGCGGTTGAGAGGGCTGTATAACAGAGAAGTTCATTCCAGCGAAGAGAACAGCATGAACAAAGGAACAGACAAAAAGGGAAAGAACCCAAATGGAGGACAAGGAGTAGACCAATTTGGCTGCAATGTACAGACTACACATGGTGGTACAATACAAGGTTGGAAAAGTGGGCTGGAACCAGATTCAGAAGGACCTTGAATGCCAGGTTGAAGAGTTAATGGTGTATTCAGGAAGCTGAAAGATACCATAATGCTCATCTAGTTCAAGCCTCTCATTTTGAGAAATGATAAAACTGAGGCTCAGAAATACTAAGTAACTTGCCCAAGATCATAAAATTAACAAGTTTAATAGAACTGTAGTTTGGTGGCAAGTACTCTCACTCTAAATCTGGTGTTCCAAGTCCACCAGACTTAGGAGTCAGGAGAGGCCCGTGATAAAATTCAGCCTCTGACACTAGTTGTGTAACCACAGATGTTCTTGTCTCTCTGGGCCTCAATTTCCTTATCTATAAAATGGGTATAATAAAGCCTCACAGGGTTGTCGTGAGCATTGAATGAGAGAATATATACAAAGCACTTTGCAAACCTTAAAGCCCTATATAAATGCCAGATATTATCAGTTATTAGTATGATGATTATTTTCACTATATCACAAGGAGAAGACCTTGAAGGTTTCTGAGTAGAGTGGTTATATGATCACTTAGACAGATGATTACTCAGGCATCAAGATAAAGTATAAAGGGAATAGGCTGAAAGTAGGAAGACCAAGCAGGAGACTTCTATAATGGTTTAGGGGAGAAAAGTCAAGGTGCTTCCAAGAGAAGCATTAAAAAGGGAGTGGATGTGAAGAAGAACATAAGTTAGGATGACAGATCTAAAGCTGGAAGGCCCAAAGAGGATGCCTAGCCCAAACCCCTTATTTTATATTTGAGGAAACTGAGGCCCAGGAGGTTAGGTGATTTGCCCCAAGTCATACATGGAGTGTCTGAGGTAGGATTGGAATCCAAGTCTTCTGACTTCAGAGCTGCGTTCTTTCCATTGTACCATCTTGAGATTAAGCAGGGAGAATCAATCAGACTTGACCATCGGTGGATATTTGGGTGTAAAGGTGAGGAAAGAGTCACAGGAGACTCTAAAGAGTCTTAGGTAACTGGGCAATGATGGCAACATCAATAGAAATGCAGAAATTAGGAAAGGCAAAAAGCTGGCCTGGGGGAATGACAATGTATTGGACATAACCTTAGGGCAGACTTTTAGTAATAAAGGAAGTCTAAAGGTTGATATCTTGCAAACCCTTTTACATTTCAGTTAAATGTCATATTTGCTACAATATTAAGAATAAAAAGGGCTTAATATTAATGCTGAGAAAGAAAATAAATTATAATTCCTTACCTTTGTAGGTAGTGACATAACAACACGTTCCATCTACTTTTTCAGTGGGAATTGCATTGTATACATCTGCATCTAATGCTTTGTAATTTATAGTTTCTGTAGCCAAAACTTTAAATGGCTTAAGGAGGAAAAAAAAAAAGACATGATTTTAGAAATATAAGTATAAATGCAAGATATCTGTAAACATAATACACCAAAAAACCCTGAAATTTTATCATCCAGTCATCATAAGGGATTGGATTACTTTAGTTAAAAGTTATCATCACTTAAGTTCTTCATGGCTCAAGCGAATTTCTGTATCTCCTCTGATCATGGTGGCCAGGCCTCTCTGTTCTTTCCTACACCCACACTCAGCATTCAGCTATTTTATTTTCTTTTTTTCCACAGACTTCTTCCAATTCCAAGATGAAGGAGATGGTATGCCCTTCTTTCTACTCCTCTTGATTTTTCAATTGAGAGAAATATAGGATCACCAGAATACCTGAAAGCAAATCTGGGTCAAGTCTTGGTATGTTCCATAGTACTTTATCCATATTAACAACCATGTAATTATCTCCTCATTATTTCTACACAGGAATTTCAATATGGATCAAGGTCAGAATATCTTCTGGAGTTACAGTTATTTTCAGACGCAACTTTTATTTTTGTTGTTGAGTCTATTTTTAGTCATGTCTGACTCTTCCTGACCCCATTTGGTGTTTTCTTGGCAAAGATATTGAAGTGGTTTGTCATTTCCTTCTCCATTTTCCTTCCTTTACAGATGAGGAAACTGAGGTAAACAGGGTTAAGTGACTTGCCCAGAGTCACACAGCTAGTAAGTGTCTGAGGCCACATTTGAACTCAGGAACTTTTATTTCATTATAAACACATTCCTTAAAAGTAATAGGCTTCTGTCCTTAACACGTATATCTTTGAAGTATGTTATAACATAATTCTTACTGTTAATCATTACTTTGAGAGTGTCTTAACCAAACAATTATTCCCTTCATCTTTTCCCAACATGATCTAATTAGTCTTCCAGGAATTCCCTCTAGTACTCTTCATTTAGAAGCTATTCTGATGTTTTTTTCACAACCTGTTTCTAAACGTTTTAGCATAATCATGTGCTGGAAGACAGAGGTGTAAGTGACCTCAGAGATCACCCCCTCCTTTTGAAGATAAGGAAGCATGCTAAAGTCCTCAACAGTGATTTGTCTGAATTCACACAGACATTAAGAGGTCAGAGGCAGGATTTGAAGCCAGGCCCTCTGATTCCAAATTCAGTGGTAGTTCTATTCTAACACATAGCCTGGAACAATTAATCAAATCACAAAACATTTATTAAGCATAGTAGTGCTGGAGATACAAAGAGAACAATAACAGTTTCTACCCTCAAACTCACATTCCTTGAGTTGGGGAGAACATAACGTGCATATCATATAAATATACGTCAACTACATAACAAATAAATGCAAGGTCATTTTTTTTTTCATTGAGGAGAAAAGCACTAGGATCTGGGGAGATCAGTAGAGGCCTCATGTAGGAGGTGGCATTTGAACTGAGCTTCGGAGGAAACGAGGGATTCTAAAAGCTGGACGTAATAGTGCATTTCAGATCTGTTCCCTATAATCATTCTCTTCCTCAGGCTAATTATCACTACTTCCTTCAAATGATCTTCAAATGACAAAGTTTTGAGTCACCTTAACATCTGAGGTGCCTTGTACTCTGAATGCTTAGTAAATGCCGGGCTCGAAGCTGAATACATATTCCAGGAAGCCTCTTCATCTACACTCCTTCACCTCATCCAATAACCTCAGCACCTGGCTCAGCCTTCCTCTTCGCCTTGTTTCCTGGTATCATCACTGATGACATCCACATACATGATGATAACTACTTTGACACATGAGCCTTGGAGATCCTCAACCTTATCCATTCCAATGGCTCCAATCAATACTCCACCTCAGTCATGCCTCAGAACTTACAATGGCTTAGAGTGGATTTCCATCTCTGGAACTGGGAATCAGGAAAAGACAAGTTCAAATTCCTCCTCAGACACTTAACTAATTATCTGAACCTGGGAAAATCACTTACATTTTCTGAGCCTCCATTTTTTCATCTATAAAGTGGGGATAAAAACAGCACCTACCTAACAGCTGTGAGGATCAAATGATAATAGGTAAAGTACTTTGCAAACCATGTCTATATAGTGCTTCAAACCATAAAATGTCTTATTATTATTACTATTATAATCACCATTGTCATCATCATCATCGATCAAAAGGTATTTATTAAATGTCTGTGTGCTAGGCATTGTGCTAACTGCTGGGGATAAAAGTATAAATAACCCCTATGTGCAGAGACCTTGAGTTGTCATGAGGAAGATAAGTACATAGTTGGGTGTACACAGAATAAAGTGAACAAATACATACAGTGAACCAATACAGATCTATATAAAGTAGCTAAATAAAAGGCCATTTGGGATGGAGGGCACTAGCACTTGGGTGGATCGAGGAAGGCTTCAGGCAGAAGATGGTATGAATGTCCGTCCTAAAGAAAGAGGAACTTTCTGAGGTGGGAGGGAATAGATTCCAGGCACATGAGGATAGCTAATGCAAGGGCATGGAGGTAGAAGGTGGAGTGTTGTTGGGAGGAGCCCAAAGCCTGACAAAGCCAGGGTGGCTTAAAGAAAGAGAACAAGAGGTTGGAAAGACAGGTTAGAGCCAAGGCGTTAAGGGATTTAAAAATTAAACAAAGGACTTTACCTTTGATCGCAGAGGCAATAGGGAGCCACCAGAGTTTTACAGGGAGGGGAGGCATATAGTCAGATCTGCACTTAAGAAAGGCAACTTTGATGGCAGTGTGGAGGATGGACTGGAATGATAAGAGACTTAAGAAAGGGAAAGCCATTAGGAAGCTGTGTAATCTAGGTGAGAGGGAAGGAAGGGCTTGGATTAAGGTGGTAGCTGTGTGGTGAAGTTAGAAATAGCGAGATCTGGAAATGAACTGCATATGTGGAATGAAAAGGAATGAGAATTCATGGAAAATTCTGAGGTTATGAACCTGGGTGACTAGGAGAATGGTGGTAGCTTCAACAGAAATAGGCAAGTTTAAATTATGGGAGGAAAGATGAGCTCAATTATGGACATGGTGAATTTAAGAGTCTGAAATGTTTAACAGGCAGCTGATGATGTAGAACTGAGGTACAGGGAAGAGACTGGGGTTGGCCTTAAAAATCTGTGAGTCATCTGCACAGAGATGACAGTTAAACCATGGAAGCTTATGAGGTTACCCAGAGAAAGTGTAGAGCAAGCAGAGAAGAAAGCTTAGGAAAGAGCCCTCATAGTCCCAGAGTGTGATTTGAGTAAGAAAAACAAAAGAGAGGAGGAGTGGTCAGACAGGTAGGAGAGGGACCAGGAGAGAATGGTGTTAATGAAAAGTCAGAGAGAAGAGAGAATCATGAAGAAGGAGGTCAGGTGGATGACCTGACCTGAATCAGGCAGGTAAAGAAAGATGATGACTGAGGAAAAAAAAACAATCAGATTTGGCCATTATAAAATTACTGGTAACACTGGAAAGTGCGGTTTCAGTTGAGTGATGTGGTCTGAAGAAAATGGTTGAGGAGTAAAAGAAGAGAAAGTAGAGGCCACAAGTGTAGACAGCTTTTCAAAGAGTTTGGCTGAAAGTGAAGAGATACACGGGATGATGGCTTTGAGGGCATGGTAGGGCCTAGTGAAGGTTTTTTGTTTTGTTTTGTTTTTTTAGGATAAAGGAGACGGTATATTTTTAAGGCAGTAGTGAAGGAACGAGTAGATAGGAAGGGGTTAAAGATCTGAGAGAAGAGGGATGATTAAAGATGTAATCTGCAAAGAGGAATAGGAGGGGATGTGTTGGCAAGAAGGGCTGTTTGTCAGACTTCGGAAAGGAAGAAAAAAAAGTAAGAGACAATGTCAGCAAAGACAACATGACCACACAGAAGTGTGTAGATAACATGTAATACCTAAATGGAAGGTAATTTCAAAGGGAAGGCACTAGCACCTGTGGGCAGGGAGAGATCAGGAAAAGTCACATGTAGTGGATGGCACATGAACTAAACTTTGATATAAGCTAGAGATCCTAAGAGGCAGAGGAGAAAGTGCACTCTAGTCATGGGGGACAGCCTGTGTAAGGTACAATAGTGCCAGATGTACTATGTGAGATGAATAGCAGGAAGGCCAATGTGGCAGGACAATAGAATGAGCTGAAGGGTGTAATGTGGAATAAAACTGGAAAGGTAGGCTACAATCCCATTGTTATTACTACTATATTTGTGGATTGAATTTTATATACAGAAATGTTAATATTTAAGTTCAACAAATTCTCTGGAAAGGTTCCCCCTGTTAATTTGACATATTACCTATCAATCATTGATAGTAGTTCTTGAAATTAAAGACTTTTGATATTCCAAAAGATATTCTGGTAATACAAGCTTAATGCATAAAGCCTATGCAAGATAACAAGATAAGTACAATGTGATTTTCAGGGATTTGGGGGGTTTGCTGGTTTCTTTTACTTTTAGGTGGCCTAAGAAAATTGCCTCCAACAAACAAGTATCCTAGACTGATCTTTATTTTAATCACTCTTTTCTTCACTGGTATTTCAATTTTCTCTGTAACCTCTCCAAAGTCAGTCATTTAGTCAAACAACATTTATTAAACACATACTAAGTTGACAGGCAGGATGCTAAGTGCCAGGGGTACAAAGAAAGGCAAAAATAGTCACTCCTTTCAAGGATTTTATCTTCAAATAGCAGAGATAACCTGTAAATAACCAGGTACACACAAAATTTATACAGAGTAGGTGGAAGGAAAACTCAGAAGGGGTAAAGTCTAGCGACTGTGAGGACTGGGAAAGGTCTCTTGTAGGAATTGGGATGCCAGCACAAAGACAGAGACACAAAAAAAATTCAAGAGTCGTGTCTGAGGACCAGAAAATAGGCCAGTGTATCTGCACTGAAGAGTAGGTAGAGGAGAGAAAAGAGGAAGAAGACCACAAAGGTCAGGAGAAGCCAAGTTATGAAGGTCTTTAAATGCCAAACAGAGGAGTCTATATTTGATCCTGGAGGTAATAAGGATCCACTACAGTTTGAGTAGGGGAGTCATGGTCAGACTTATGCTTTAGGAAAATCATTTTGGCAGCTGAGTAGAGAATGGAATGGAACAAGGAGAAGGTTAAGGCAGGAAGATCAGTTAGAAGGCTACTATGATGGTCCAGGAAAGAGATGATGGTGAAACTTAAAGTGAGTATTTCAACAGCCAAATCCCTTTAAAATGAATCAAAACAGAGTCATTACAACTAATTCATTCAGTACTGTAATGAAAAGTTTCAGTAAATTTTTGGTCTCTACCTTGGCACAAACTAGGTTTTTGTTCAATGCTAACTGGCCATAGTGATATTCTACTCCTTTTTCCTACATGCAGCCTACCCAGGATTGTTTACCTTTCATTTTTTCCTGATCTTTTGTCTGCTTTTTTAAGTTTTTGCTCTTAGTTCTCATTTCAATTAGGGGCCATCTCTTAAAATTCATTAGTAAATGTTTTTACCTATTGGGTTTAGTTTTTTTTTTTTAAATCTTCATGATGAGAAACAGAGCAAAGTATATCAAAAGAGAAAATAAAGCTGTATAGCTGCTTTAGTTGCTTCTAATTTATCTGCAATATTAATGGTTGAGTGCTTTAAAATTTGCAAAGCACTTTACATTTATTAAGTCATTTGAGCCTCAAAAGAGCCCTATCAGATTAGTATTATCTCCATGTTGCAGATGAAGAAACAGGGGCTCAAACTGGTTAGGTGATGTGCCATCATATCCCTGGCATCAGAGGTGGGATTTGAACCCAGGAGACTTTCTGCTTCTAAGACCAGTACTTTATCCACTATGCCAGGCCACCCTCTACCTTCATTTGTGGAGAATGATATAAATTTTTTCTTTGAAAACTGCCATAAGAAACTTCAGATTAAGACCTTATTTGTATCTTACTATGTGAAAAGCACTCAGTAAACAATTTAAAAGAATTATAATTATTGTAAAATTTAGACTTAACAAAATGAAATCCTACTTCATATAGAATCAAGTAAATTTACAAATCTCCTAAGCATGAGAGGTAGTACTGACTGAAATAGCTTCAAAAAGGGTCTTGATGCCTATGTTTAACAGTATTTCCATAATGGGTTTCCATGGGAAACTGGGGTATTTGAATATTACACACTTTTCTAAAGGAAACTGACATCAAGGAAAAATTCTATCAACATGCTAGAACTCATTATTAAAGATTTATGAGCATCTAGAAAATTTCAATATAATCACAAAAAGCCAGGCACCATGGGTTTCTCAACAAATTCATCAAAAACAAACTCATTTCCCCTTTCGACAGCGCAACACCAGAGTACACCTGAATTTCAGAAAAGTGTTTAACAAAATCTCCCATGATGTCCTTGGGAATAAGATTAAAAATGTTAGGTAGGCAGATTACTAACCCGATACATAACAAAACCCAAAAAGCAGCGACTGAACTGAAGAAGACCTCTAGTGTAGCAGCCTGTTCTGTTCAAAGTTTTTATGAAGGACTTACTCAGCTGACAGTACAAGTAGAAAGCGTGTCAAACATGTGAAGAGCATAAAGTTAGGAATGATAACTAATACAGATGAAAGAATCAGGATCCAAAAAGATTTTAACAGGCTAGATCTCATAAAATGAAATTTAATAGGAATAAATACAAATTATACTCTTGGGCTCAAAAAATTAATGTACAGGAAAGATAATGTGGTCAAAAATATTTTTAATCACTGGTGGTCGTAAGTGAATAGTATAACATGATAGTCAAAAAGAGCTAATGCAATCTTAGGCTGTATTCACAGACTGTTCAGAATTTGAGAGGTGAAAATTCCATGAATTGTACCCCAGTTACACCTCTTCTAGAGTATTTTATCCATTTCTAGGTGCCATAGTTGCTGGACTATCATCCATGTCCTTCCTACTATGTGACCAGGATGAAGTGGTCTGGCCATTCTGGAAAGCAATTTGGAACTATGTCCCAAAACTTATTAAAATGTGACCCAGCTTTACTCTTAAGAGAAAAAAAGTCCTATATCCACAAATCTTTTTATAGTAGTTTTTTTAGTAGTAAAGAAGAAATGGAAAAATAAGGAGGTTTCCATTAATTAGGGAATGGCTAAACAAATTATAGCATATGAATGTAATGAAAATATTGTGCTATAAAAATGGTGACAGGGACAGTTTCAGAGAAACCTGGGAAGACTTGCATGAACTGATGAATAGTGAGGCAAACAAAACCAAGAAAACAATTTATACAATAACAACAAAATTATAAAAACTAACAATTCCGAAAGACTTAAGAACTCTAAACAAAGCAATGATCAACCAAGATTCCAGAGGATCAGTGATGAAGAATGCTATCCACCTACTGACAGAAAAGTGTTAGTCTACCTAGAGACACATTTTTGGACAAGCAACTATGGGAATTTGCTTTGTCTGAGTATGCATTTGTTACCAGGGTAACACGTCTGTTTTTTTTAATTGGATGGGGGAAATGAAAGAGAGAAAAAAATTCTTGACCATTGAAAAAACTTTTTAAAAAACACAAATTTCTTGAGGTCAGGAACTGTTTTGCTCTTTGTACTTGTATATTCAGCATGCCTCTTGCAGTGTCTGGCACATAGCACATAAAAGGTGCTTAATAAATGCTTGTTGGTTGATTGGAGGGCATTCCAAAACTAGAGTACATCCAGAGGGCAACTGGGATAATTCGGAGACTTAAAACCATGCCATATAGAGATCAGCTGAATGTATAGGGCATGTTGAGTCCAGAGAAGAAAAGATTTAAGAACGACAGGACAGCTGCCTTCAACTATTTGTAGAGCTATTATGTGAAAGATGGATTAGACCTATTTTGCTCCAAAGAGCAGGTCTAGAAACAATAGGTAGAAAATAAAGGCAGATTAGCACGATATAAGGAAAATCTTCCCAAGGAATATAGGTCTCCAAAAGTAGAAGAGTCTGCCAGCTTTTGAAGGCAGTGAGATCTCAGTCCCAGCAGTGAGAAAATTAAATGGATTTGTCAACAGCAGATGGATGTGGAACTACAGCCAGAGAAAGAAGTTAGGGATGGAGACATGGACTTGGAAATCAATGGATTTCAATTCAACGGTTATTAGGTACCTGATATATTCAGGGCAATATGTTAAGTGGCATGCAGTATTTGCATGTATGCAAGGAAGGTAGTAACAGCTGAGATGGTTGGAGTCAAAGATACGCAAGACATCTTTTCCAAAACACACTTGCCCAGTAGGCGTGGTGGGTCCAGAGATAACAGAACTAGGTATGGAATAATTTCTGGAAACCATTTAAGTCCTTATCTTTCATGGCAACCTGGTAAGCCAACTGCTGATATTAACTGTCAACTTATTCATAGGGCATGGACTTGTAAAGCTGGCCCTCAGGTTCAGGGACTAATTTCTCCTCCAGTTCTCTGTCATCATTCTCTATGCTTGTGCAGCTGACTTTTTTAATGCCTGTGTGCATGTATATGTGGGTGCCTTTAAGTACACACAGGCAGTGTCCCCAAAGTCTTAGTGAAGTTTTAAGCTAAACAGTTGAATGTAGCTTAGACAGCTAGATTAAAACTTCACTAAGACTTTGGGGACACTGCCTGTGTGTATGTGAATGAATGAATGTATATATATATGTGTGTGTGTGTGTGTGTGTGTATATGTGTATATATACGTGTATATATAGTACATGTATACATATGTGTATATAAGTATATGTGTGTATATATGTGTGTGCATATGTGTGTGTGTATAAAGACATGCTGAAAGAGACAGAGAGGATGCCAGAGAGAGAAGGGGGGAGGAAAGAAATAAGATAAGGAGAGAGGGAAAGGGAAAGCAGGGAAAGGATGGGAGGATGGACAGAGGCAGAGGACTGTCCTCGCTCAGTGATGATGCTGACAGGTCCCCCGGGGCTGGTTATGGGGTTGCCCGCAAAGACAAGGGGCTTGCTAACAAGTCTCTCCGTCTCTGGCCCCCATCTCTCTCTATCTCTGTATGTCTCTCCTGTCTCTGTCTCTCTCTCCCCTCTCTCTTTCTCCCACCTTCTTCTCGTTCAGATCAGACCCCGGCCCCCATCAACCTCAATCATCTGGGGTGCTAGACTCTGCTGGCCGCGGGCCTCCGGCCCCGCCCCTGGTCCCGCCCTCGGGGGTCCGCCAGCCCCCCCTCTGGGCATCTCCCACTGCTCCTCCCGCTTTGGGGGTCCCCCGCCCCTGGGGGATGCCACTACCTGGTGCTCCCTCTTGACCGACGGCTCGTCCTTCACCTCCGTCACAAATACGCAGGGCACCTTCCTCTGCACCGAGCCCAGGCGCCGCATCGCGGGCCGCAGCGGCCCGGCGCCGCCCCGCGATCCCGGCGCTCAGACCGCCGGCAGGCAGGTAGGCAGGCAGGTAGCCGCGCAAGCACGAAGACGCCTGAGCGAGCCACGCCAGGCCACGGGCTCAAGGGGGGGGGGCAGCCCGGGGGGGGGGGGGCGGGCTGTACTCAATGCCCAATCACAAACCGCCGCTGCCGGGGAAGGCGGGGCGATCCTTCCGGAAGGGGCGGTTCTGCCGCGTAGGCCGTTGGGAGTTGTAGTAAAGTTGAGGGCTGAGGTGAACTTCCGCATCCGCCCTAAGCTCTGATCCTTCTACCCTAATTAGCCCCATGGGGTGTTCTGTCTGTAAGCGCACGGCCCCCCCCCACCCCCGAACCGAAAATTCATCTGAATAATTAACTCATACCACATAAAATGGGAAGCCGTCACTAACCTGGAATATGCCCTCTAGAACCTTCCTGGTGAAACCTCTAGGGCCCTCCCACTTTTTAGTGAGTGAAATGAATGAATATAATAATAATAATAGCTAACATGTATATAGCGCTTCCTCTCTGCCAGGTACCGTGCTAATAATCCCTTTACAATTATCTCATTTGATCCTCACAAGTCCGGGAGGTAGGTGCTGTTATTATGATCTCCATTTTTACAGATGAGGAAACTGAGGCAGACAGGGGTGAAGTGACTCATCCAGGGTCACACAGTCAGTGTCTGAGGTCAAGTTTGAACTCAGGTCTCCTAGAATCCGCCCTAGCGTCGTATCTACTGCGCGCCATCTAGGTGAGTGAATGAATAAATGAAGCCTTTATTAAACCTTTACTACGTGCTAAGCAAGGGAGATGCAAAAAGCAAGACGGACCCTGCCCTAATGGAATTGCTCAGGAAAGTAGCGTTAGAGGTGCAGGAGGCTAGAGGAAGCACCTGGAGGATGCCGCAAACCTAGGGCAGTATAGAAACTGATTTCACAAAATTAGCGTCATGCATCTAATCCTGTTAAAAGACTGCTTTGGATAGGTGACAGCGGAACAGATTTGGGAGATGCCAATCTATCTTTTTTTTTTCCCCCAGACAAGGGAAAATTTACTGGCAAACGAATCAAAAATCATTCTGATGATCTATCAGATCTCAGCCTCAGATTCCTCCTGAGTGGCTTATAACAGGGAATGTCAGCTGGTAAGTGTCCTAAAAGACTAAGTTTAGGAAAATTGCAAGAAGCAAAGAACATTCTCAAAAATGTCTTCTGATATATGTGCTTGAGGGTTTCCTCTTAATATTCATTTTGGTGTCTTATGCTATGGCTAATTTTGTAACACAAACCCATTTGATTTTCTTAAAATTCTCGTGATAAAAATTACTTTTTTTTTCATTTTTTTTTTTTTAGACAATTGGGGTTAAGTGACTTACCCAGGGTCACACAGCTAGTAACTGGCAAGTGTTTGGTCTGAGGGTGGATTTGAACTCAGGTCTTCCTGACTAAAGGGCTGGTGCTTTGTTAAAAATTACTTTTTGAAAAATAGGCTTTTTTTTTTTAAAAAAAAACAACATAGTATCTTTTGCTTAAGTGATATCTTTTCAGGTTTAATGAGTTGTTTTAAAAAACATCTGTTGGGGTCATGGCAACCTAATTTACTTTTTTTTTTACAAATGCACACATTTTTATTGAAAGAAAAATTCCATTGTTGGTGCTTCCTAGAAATGTTTTGATTCATTAAGCTCCATGTTACAGTTGTAAATTCAAGACTTCAATTGGACAATAACGTGTGTGTGTGTGCGCGTGTGTGTGTGTGGTGTTTCGTTCTTCAAATGGGTCTTTTAATAAAAATTAAAAACTAATCCTCCAAAGAACTTATTACAAATGCAATAAACCAAAGGACCAGGAGGTGGCGCTATGAAAAGAGAGCAGAGACTGGAGTCAGAAAGACCTGAGTTCAAATATGACTCAGATACTTAATAGCTGTGTGACCCTGGGCAAGTCACTTAAGACCCTATTTGCCTCAGTTTCCTCATCTATAGAATGAACTGGAGAAGGAAATGGCAAACCACCCAGTATCTCTGCCTAGAAAACCCTAAATGGAGTCAGAAAGTTGGGCACAAATGAACACAACTAAACAAAATGACACAAGAATCTAACAAATTGTGGGTGAGGGCAGGAGACCAAACTGCCATGTAAGATACAGTCAGGCCTTTTAGTCATTGATTGGAGATCAATTAATTGGATTAATTGGAGAGTGTTCAGATGGAGACAGGGACTGCTCTGTCATTTCCTTGGGACAGGGAAATCCCAGGTCTACCAAGGCTGGTCAGCACTTTCTCATCCACTTACGTAGTCTTAGCTACCTGAGATACTGACAGGTTAGGTTACTTGCCCAGGCATCACACAATCAGTATCCTAATCCAGGGATGGGATGTGAAAATAGTTATTAGCTTTGAAACCAATTCTTTACTATCCCACACTGCTTCTCAGAGGTATTCGGCTAAACTACGGAAACTTAACAGGGACTGTGCAGTTCTTCTGAAACATGAGCATTGCAATGAAACTCTTCTAGATGTCCAATTAAATGAAACTTTTCAATTTCAAGAATTGATTGAATGATACATTTGATAAATAATTGTATCTTATCTGTTCCCACCGTTTCATACATTCTTCAGTCTGACTGAAGCTAAAGAGGAGTTTTGACTTTCTTCCTGCCATTTTTTAGTTATGTTTAGACCAGGTGGAGATCTCATGATTCAGAGCTAGCTACGAGTATGCAGTTGTGTGGTGTTTTACTCAATTAGATGACAAAAATCCAAAGAGTACATCCTTTGTAAGAATCTCTGGCCAGTAGAATGTAGCTCTCCTTCAGGGCAGGAAACGTACTAGGCATCGTACTTCCAGTACGATGCCTTGCACACAGAATGAGTTTAAAACAAACGTTTATTGAATATACCTGAATCTGCGCAGAGTAGCTTGCTAAAGGGCAAAAGATGCTGAGATCAGAGTAATTATTAATTTTTTTATGAATTAACTGATTGGAGAGGATGGAGAAAAGAAGATAGAAATTTGCTAATTTGAATTATTTTCTTTTTTCAATTATCTTACATTTTTCCATGGCACAATAATGAAGCAAAGAAACCCTAACATATGGGTCATCCTACAGTGGGATTAGCTACTTCAAAATCTTCAATATCGAACATAAGTGTCTCTGTTCCTGCAAAGGCATGATCTAAAGCAGCTTTTGCTTTCACTGTCTAGAGGGACAGATATTTAAATAAATAGCCACCCACAACTGCCATCTCCCAAACTGCCACAGAACCTTTCAAGTTCAACATTCTCTCTCTTCTGGGGAAGGAGCATCACCTAAAACATTCCGCGTGCTGTTTGAATAGTAGCAGAGAGGCCACCAATCTCTCTGTCCACATGTACTCTCCATCACACATGCAGCAATTTCTTCAATGTCTGCAACACAGCCGTGGGAATAAGTCCCTGGCAGCAGAGGCAGCTGCCCATGTCCACTGTCAGCCCCAGGACCACCAACTCATAGCCACAAACTGGACTCCTACCCTGAAGGGGGGCACCCACCAGTACTGCCTGGATCTCTTGGGCTACAAGGAGCAGGAAGGAATAGTTGCCAGCCCCAGGTAAGTGATACAGCATTGCAGGCTATGGGTTGGGAAAACCCTCTTGAAGGGGCTTTGGTTTGACTAGACTGCCAATATTATAGCATGCAACCAAATCTGGCATCACTAAAGTGTCTGAACACAGATCCCCAATTGGGAAGCTTAGTTTCAGTCCTTTTCCAACCATCCTTCTTAGTCTTCCTTGCAAGAACTAAAGTTCCATTAACGGAGGATGTCTCTCCCCTTGAAAGGTTGAGCTTCCCAAATAAAGACTTTTAGTGTTTTCTCTTTCCTAGAGTAATTGAATTACCAGAAGCAGAGCTATTTACTCTTCTCCTCCTTGATAAGGCTCACCTCCACACTTGACCTTGATTCTCTTTTTGCTGTGCTGGTTGATGACTCTTCATCCCTGATCATGATGTGACTCTGTGATGTAAAAACATTGCCTTGAAACAGCTTGTCCCCTTATATATACATACCAGATTCTCACAATGGCCATAAGCACGTTGCCACATGTAACCATGCAATAATGGTCCTTGGTAACAGTATTTGAAAACAATTTCGAAAGCAGCTACAAGTCCATAGGTGAACAGGCCTTTTGTTTGGAGTCAATGATCATTTAAAAATGTTCATTGGGGGTGATTATCCCAGTAGCCTATGTGCTTAGGGTGAGTACTTCGTTGTTCTAGAGTTAGAAGGTAGGGTGAAATGAGAGTCAAGACATTTTTTTCCTATATTTATTTTACTTATATTTTCAAGATGTTATCCAAATCTTTTATTTTCTGTTTCCTCAACTAAGTTTCTAATACAGTTGCCATTTAAAAAAAAGTTCTTTTCAAAGTGTATTCCTAAATGTTAAGTTCTTTTTTTGTTGCCTTTTTTATAAGGTTATATGTGGAATATATGTATATGTATATATGTATCATTGGTCTATGTATATTCTTTCTGTATTATGAAAATATATTTAAGCCATTGTGAGCAGAAAGGTTACTTCATCAACTATTTTAACCAACTAATACAGCAACTTTACTTTTTCTTCATGTAAATCTGTCTTTTAAAACTTCCAACAAAGTAGCAGTGCATTTTTATTTTAAAAATAGTACCCTCTCTGTAAAAGACTCATCCTTCATTTTCTCTGATTTATTTTTAAGGTCGCTTCCATTTATATTTTCATTAATTTCTAATAGCTTCTTCTAGCTCTCTTAAGAACACTAATGACAAGACCTTCAAATTATAATGTCTCATTCTGAGGGTGAGACGTTATATAGTCTTACGTACTATAAGAATTCCATATCTCTATCATCCAATTTTTAAAAAACTTACAATCAGCAAATGTTCTCGTCATGGAAGAAACCTTTTCTCCTTAAAAGAAAGATAAAAAAAGGATTAGAATATAGATATGTGATGAATAATCTCAATTTGTTTCCAGATAGCTATTGATATATATTATCTCAATTTGATTTTGGTTTCCATCCGACATAGTTGATAACAGCAGTCAAGTACATAATTTGTACAGCAAATGGGTTCATATTAACATAACAAATAGGAATATTACACCCTAGAACTTAATATTTTTAGGCATACCCAACCCATTTTTAAAAATAAGATACCAAGTACCTAATTCATTGTTCTAAAATATTCATTCCTTTCTCCCAAATATGAAATTATGTTCTACCTCTTAGTCTCTTTCTTTAACCAAAAGATTGGTAGAAAAAGACATAATTGTATTTTTTAATAGCCATCCTAGTTTAATAATTTCACCCTGGAATTAGGAGTAAAGGAAATACTGTGACGTTATTCCTTAATGTGAAACTCGCCAACAGGTACTTGTGAGGTCATTTATGATGAGCACATAATGGCCCAGGTAACAATGAGAAAAATTCTGGAAGTTTGAATTTGTGTACTGGCTAGCAACCACTTTCAACATTTCTGCAAAGTGAGAGAAGCTATCTTCTGATTTAAAATTTTCTTAAGAATTACGTATTGCGTAATACACTGTCAACAGGAGGTCAGTTTTAAAAGGAGATTACTACTGATAACCTGGACAACTCTGGAAAAGAGAGTTTTTTTATTTTTCACTTTTCCTTATACACTGAGACTTCTTAAAATTACATTCCTGCAATTCTTATATAAGGACAGTGGAGGAAAATCAAGAGAGGTGAAAATGACGGAAGTTGGGAATGACTGCTATTTCTTTTTTTATTCCACATGCATAAAGGTAAATATTGTACAGATTTACAGATGTTCACATCTCTTAGCTTTCTGGTAGAGTGAGGGAAGATGTAAGAGAAATTTTCATGATCAAAACAACATTAACCAGTTTTTGTTTTTGTTTTTTACTTACCCATATGTTTATTATGGTAAAGTTGAGTTTCTATAACGAAATATAGAAGGGTTTGATATTTTTTAGTTATTTGGCTGAAACTACTACTACTGCCTACCACAGTCATACTCAGAATGTGGCTCTTAAGCCACATATATTTCTTTAGAGTACAACCTGAAGTTTTTCCAGACTTTGAACTGCTAGTATTGGAATGCCATTTCATAGAAAACTCTACAGAGCATATGGCTCTTTGTGATTAATGGAGATCGTAGGTGTGATGCCAGGGTTACGTGAATTAGCCCTGTTCTACGCTCTCAGTTGAATTCAGTTCACCTTCAGACTTCACTTTAATGAATCCAATTCATTTGCCATTTAATAACTAAGTAAAATTATTACTGTGCTTTGCTATGTCATTTTAAAATACTTCATGATTTTATAGTTTTCAAAGCATCCAGCACAGTGCTCTGATCACAGTAGGCACTCAATAAATGTTTGTTAAATGAGTTAATAAGTTTAGTGGCTTATCAAGGGTAACCTTCAAAGGAAAAAAATAAAAGTAAATATGTTCAGGTTGGCAAAGTTACAATTTTCTCTAACTTAAATTAGCTCATTAAGTCAAATGGGAATAACGTTATTTATATAAGGTCACAAATGATAGATTGAAAACTAGGGGAAAAAAAACACCTGAGATCATTTAGTCCAATCCTGTCCCTTTCCTCTTTATTTTTAGCGATGAGGAAATTAAGGCCTGTTGATCTTATATAGTGATTTGCCCAAGGTCACATTCAAGTAGAGACAGCAGAGTTGAGATTTAAATCTATATTTATCTGATTTCAAATCCGGTGCTTGCTCTACAATGCCAGTTCATACAGGACAGAAAGCATCAATAGATTTAGAAAAAAAAACTAAATGCATGAATGAACTGTAAAATCAGGGCAGAGGAAATACTTGCTGGGTTCTAATTCAACCATAATGGATCTAGGAATCCAATATCGTACAAATGAGATACCCAGAACTGTTAAGCCAGTTCTGCTGTGAGAATATCTACAAATTATATCCACAGTAAAACCACAAAGGAAAGATTTCTGCAGGGGACATAGTAGAAATATCACTGTTAGAGACATTTAAAAATGAAAAGACAGGAAGAGAAGACCAAATATGGAGAATATGGTGAGGAATGTAGTGGGACAATCACTTGTCTGTCTATCCCTCTAACTGCAGGACACTGACCCCAAAGTTAAACAACACCTTTGCCATAAAATAAAGAGGAGAAGGATAAAAACAAAGCAATGGGGTTTCTACACTATGAAAAGAATGCAGAATTAATGAGCTTTATGGTATATTAATACGTTCTTGCTTGGGTACTCCTGATTTTTAAAATATAAGGTACTTCAGAGCAAAAGAATAACAATTGTTATAATTATAATGTAGTATAGTCCAGTTTTTTAATGGGAACAATGGAGAATATATAAGTAGAAAAAAATAGAAAAATGGAAAGATATAAACTTTAAGATCCATTCACCATTTTCTTAGACATATACTGACCAGTAAAAAAAAAAAAAAGTCCATAGGCACTGGTTTGAGAACAGAGATCTCAATTCATAAATAAGGATCTTCTGTGTGAGCAGAATTAGTCTGTTGGGGCGTGAAAGCTTTTTTCCTCCCTGGAAATTTGATTTTTTCAGAATGCTGTCACATTCATGCATATCCTCTCCCTGGGCTGTGCATAGCTTGGGTTATCACTAACCCTTTGTGCATCTGCCTGATGATCTATACATAAGAAATATACAGCTCAGATTTTGCCAATAACTTTTGGCACACAGTATTATTACATACCGCTCTACATTATTTTGTAGTGTTCTTTAATTATTCTTATATGACAGACTCACCTACTGATAAATTGAAATAAGCTGCCAAAGTTTTTGGCATGTAGGGTTACATTTCTGGTATTTATTTCGCTAATGGCTTTCTAAATTAGCTATAAGCATATTCATTTTAAAAATCATGAGAACAATAGGTAGGAGTAAGTGACCTACAGTTATTGTTGACCTCTAGCATCAATATATTGTGAGTTTTCTGCACTGTTTACTTTTTTTTCTTAGGGTTCCCAGTGCCGATTCCGACACTGTGAAGAAGCCCTTGGCAGTGACACTGTGTGCTCATTATGGAGAGAGGGAAAATGTTTAGATCCACTTTGCAGATTTAGACACACGGAAATGCAGGTAGAATTGCTCCTCCTCCTCCTCGTCGTCATTCTTTGTCAAAAATATAGCACGTTAGTCATCTTCTTGACCTACATGACAACATGACAGGGAGATGATGTTACTTCTGCTGGTGGCAAATAATGCAATTGATGATGGTAGCTTGCTACTGAACCTAAAACCTTAGGCTAGTATGTAGGAATATGTCATAGGAACCTCTGCGACCTCAATTCAAATTTAGGGCTACGACATTGACAGCAGGACAAATCCCCATTGATTAAAAAGCAATAGCTTTCATTTGGCTTCTTTTTTTTTGTTCCTTTTTTTTTTTCACTTACAAAATAATTGAGTTTGTTATGAATACGACCTCTGAAAACTCCATTTCTTCCCCTTTTTCTCTAGCAAAACTGCAGCATTTCATGCTTCTGGGAAACTCAGCCTCTTGGTTGCGTGAAGATCAGTTGTGTGTTTTATCATAGCAAACCCCGTAATATCAATGGACTTTTTTTGCCACCAAGTAGCAGTGAGTATATTTTCTTAATAATATTCACACGACATCAGATTCAAATCTGATTGTAAATTTCTATAATGGGAAACCTAGGAATAGGAGTGTGGGATGCCAGACCGGTGAAAATATGATGAGGAAGAGTGATGTGACTGTGACAGGGTCAAATGGAAGATTCGATCAAGAATCATGAAATGAGGCTCGGAACAGGCCATCAGACAGCTTAGTCCTGTGTCTGGTTGTGTGATCAAAGGGCAGATGATATGCCTTAGGTCTAATAGTGTGTATCCAAGGCAGCTTTATTATTATTATCATCATTAATTTAAAGAGTGTGAACAAGTCATTGATCCTACTGGATCTTTCCTAAAATAAGATTGAACCAGGACTAGCATTTCCCATGTGGGTTATGGTCATATCTCGAATCACTTGTGACTGATTTTAGGAGCAAAGAAATGTCCATAACCCCAGTGAGCAGCCCACGTGAACACTTAGCTCCTCAGCAGTTTTGTCCTCTGCTGTACCCAGAGGCATGTAGGTGGTGGTGCACTGACTAGGACGCTATATATGGGACCAGGATGACCTGAGTTCAGATCCAGCCTCAGACGCTTACTAGCTGTGTGACCTTGAGCAAGTCACTTAATCTCTTGTCTGCCTTACTTTCCTCATCTGTAAACTGGGGATGATGATAGCACCTACTCCTCCAGGGTTGATGTGAAGATAAATGAGAAAAAAAATTGCAAAGAATTTTGTAAACCTTAAAAGTGCTATTTAGATGCTAGCTATCATCATCATCATCATCATCATCATCATCATCATCATCATCATCAT